GCTGTGTTGTAATAAATTATTTTCTAATAAGAGTAAAGAAAGAAAAGAGAAGGTATGCATAGAATTATAGCATTTTCTTTTACAAATATTAAAGTTTTTCAGTATATACACATAGGAAAGGAATAATAGGAAAGACCTATATTAATGAGTTAAGATTGCAAGTGCTTTTCTGTTTTTTCCTTCTCTAAATTTGTACTTTAAGTATAATACATTCATAATTTTTCTAAAAGTAGTTATTAAAAATTAACCTTTTTTTCTTGTCACCATCACCTCTCCTGGAAGACATAAAACCTAGTAATGATAATCAAAATGATTATCTATCTGATCAAAAGTATAGCTGATTTATATTATGGTATCCCCTCAACTCTCTGAAAATTGTGTTTTATGGTTGCATTTGTGAGGCTTACATAGCTTATTTAAAAGCCAAAATTGCTTTAACTCTTTTAATTTTATTTTTTAATTAACACAATAATATTACATACTTACAGGGTGCTGTGTAATGTTTTAATATGTGCATACAGTTTGTACTTATTAAATCAGTGTAATTAGCATTTCCATTTCCTTATCATTTCTTTATATTTAGAGCCTTCTAGCTCCTCTCTTCTAGTTTCTCATAAATATATAATAGGTTGTTGTAAAATATAGTTACCCTATTGTGCTGTGGAATGCTAGAACTTATTCCTCCTGTCTAATACAATTGCTTTTATGACAGTCTTTGAAAAGAGATGGAAGGTCTCTGCTGTGGTTTAGAAATGGTTCAAGTTTTTCCCCCAAAGTTCATGTGATAAAAGCTTGGTCCCCAGTGTGGCAATATTGAGAGATGAAAAAATTTTAAGAGGCAAAAAATAAAATAAAATAAAATTTTTAAAAAAGCATAGCTGATTTTTAAATATATTTTTTGGGTAATCATAAGTAGATGTTAAAGATATTTCATAGAAGACTTTAGCTCTTCTATGACCAAGTGGGTTTTACATCACTAACTGAAGGACATTCACTTAGTTCTGTATGGCCTAAGCATGGTGTTTATTGAAGACCTGAAATCCTCACAGGAGCTAGAAACAAGGATCCAGATGTTTCCACTTATCTTACAATGTCCTGCTTCTTCTCAGACTTGTTTCAAGTCAAAGCCACAAAAATATAAAGCTCTAATTGCATAGAAATGAAAGCTAGATTTTTCTCTGATACCTTTAGGAAAATATTGCTCATTGTGCCATTTTAAATAACAATGGTTAGCTTTAGTCTAAACCCTTGTGCCAAAAGAACAGTGGAGTCCTTAGTCTTAGAACAGACCTTGTCCCAATTCCCTTTCATCACAATGCAGAAATGCTCACTTCAGCTGAGGATGTAGCTGGCTTGATCTGCCCTTTTTCAGAGGATTGCTGGTGATTCATCCTCCTTCAGGGAGGGAGTTCCCTGCTTGCTCAGGACCACTGAGATGAACCTGTAATGATGCAGAAGGCTCACGGTGCACACACACAGCCGAGCTCATGCAGGGTACCCTTCCAGATTTTGTCTTTATCCAAGGGAGATATCACAGCAAGTAGTTCTCAAGGGCAGAGGGAAATGGCACATGAACAATGTCTCTTCTCATTTTGTCACCTGGGCAAAAGGCTTATCCTTCAAAATCCAGCTCAGCTATTACTCTTCTGGGAGGCATTCCAGAAACAACCACTCCCTTGCTGTGAGTGAAGTGTTCCCTGTCTGTGCACCACTAGACCCTGGGTCTCCCCCAATCTCGTCTCTTAGCACGGATCATTTGTGATTTTAGTCTGTGTAGTTCTTGTACTAGTAGTGAGTATTGGATATAGGGGATTCTGTTCACTTTGTTTTGTCTTCCAGGTGCTTGAGAAGTGTTTACCTGTATATGTAGGAAAATACAGCATTTCTTGTTTTGCCATAATAATGGGGAAGCTGTGTCCAGAGATAAGGGTGAAATACAGTGTGTATACTTGAGAATAAAATTTTTGGCTTCTTTTGTGAGTTCCTTTATATTTCTATTCTGATGTCAATATTATTTTAATCAAATAGTTCCTTTCTCTCTCCCTCCCTTCCTCCTTTCTCTCCTTCCTTCCCTTTATTCCTTCTAAATGGTTTGGAAAAATCTTGGCAGTTATTCACTTGAAATAAAGATTTAATTCCTACAATATAAACAGAAGACAATTAGAGATTTTAAAGTGTGTCAACCCTTAAAGTTTATTTTCTTTCTCTCCATGCCCATTTGGTAAGAATGGTTCTCTGGGACTGACTAATTATAGATGAATGACACTGAAATGCTTGAACAATAATTTGTAGAAAATATAATTATGAGCAGAAGTCATTAGTGGGAGTAAATGAATAGTTTGTTGGTTAGCAGGTCAATGTTGAAAGCCAAATGTGGTTAAACACTGGATTAAATTACAAGACCATACTCCTTTTGTCATTTAAGTATATTTATAAATTACTGAGCTTTTAAAACTGCTTTTATATGCTTTTTGATTTATGGTACAGAAAGGAAGGGAGCTGCCCAAGCTGGGTTTCAGGAGTTTGACAAAGAGAATGACTCACACGTGTGCCATGTTCTCTTCAGCAGAGGGTCCGCCAGTCCGCCTTGTGTGGTGCTTAAATAACCTTTATAAAGTAATGAATGTGATTTTTGAGAATCAAAGCTAATTGGGTATAGTTAATTTATAGAGGCTAGGAATTTAATTACTTATCTAGTTTTCTAATCCTGGATTCAGAAGTCCTGCTTTCAGAACTAGGTACTGAGGCTTCATTATTACACAACCTTGTTTTTGAAGAATTTTAGTTTCTCATTTGTGCAATTTGTAAAATTAAAAAAGAAAAATGAAACCCAAGGAGTTCTTACATCAGAGAAAAACTAGGTTGTGTTTATTCAAAAATTCCAGTAACTTTTTTCTGTTTTATGTATTGGATATTGTATGCTCAGTTAGGTATAATCTGACAGGGGGTTACAAGTGATTGTCTATAGGAAAAAAATTTTAAATAATTAGTTTAAACCACCCTGAGTTGAATGCTGACCACAAATCTAATGCTTTGTTGGGAATTGTGACATAAATAAAGGAAACACAAAACAGTGGTCATGCATTCATGATCCATTCTTCAGGAGGAGAGATGAATCATGCATACTGTGATAATTACAGAGCTATTGCATATTGAAATCTATGGCACCGGTTCTAGGTTAGAACTGTTCCATCCTCTCTAGGCTGGTACTCCTGAAATATTCAGGCTCAATGTGATCGTACATAGATATGTCATTTCTGTAATTCGAATGAAAAAGTTATGAGATAGTCTTACTGCTTTCTAAAGATTCTGTCGACACTTGAAAGGACATAAGTGTATTTTAATAGTTTAAAATGGCCTTTAAAGATTCTCTATAATCTTTTCCCATTCATTCTGACTTGACCACTGTTAAGAAAAATTAGTTGAGTAGTATCTTTGTGATCTCTACTCTCGATTCTGCCACACATAACTTGCATGTATATAATCAATGATCCTTGCATATTGACTGAGCATTGTGAACATGTGTCATTAAGTTTGAGAGCATTTTGCATTGTACTTGATAAACATTTTCTATGCTTGGCATGAATCTTTCTACATAGACAGTCAAGAAGAGGTCAGAGAAATCCACACATATGCATATACATAAAAACAAACTTTATTTCATTTTATTGTTCCCAAAGGTTAAGATATACAAACAAGCAATAAAATTAAAATTATTTTCTTTTGGGGATGATTTATGTCTTAATTTTCACCTGCCCTATAATTAGAAATTTTGAACTCTGTAAATATTTTTAAGATAAAATTATTGCCTGAGTAAACTTTAGAAATTACATCATTAACCTGAGACCTTCCTAAGACTAGAACAAAATTATTGGTGCAAGTGTCTGCACACACACAGACAAATAAAAAAAGGGAAGTTTAAAATAATTTGAAAATGATTTATGGTTGGCTACCTCTGTAGTTAGAGATTCAAGTATTATTACTTTATTTTAGTGCAACAAGGGAGGACAGTAACTTGCTGTGGGCTAAAGGTAAATTATGATCTATTGCAAAGGAGGAAGGAAGTGTACTGGGGAAAAAGGAAGGAGTTGGGAGTAACCCATGTGCTTTTTAAAATATTGCTTTAGATAATGCCTTAAAAAATTTGCCATAACCTTTGCTGGAAGTCCAGAGTAAACTGAGAGATAGATGATCTTCTTAAATCTTTGCTAGTTAAGGACTAACATGCTTGGTATGAGGAGAGTCAGATGGAAATGCCAGAGTGTAGTGCAAACTAAGAAACCCAGACTCATGAGGTTTCCCTTCTTCAAATTTTCTTAGCAAGCCTGTCCTGGATATACTCAGGTTTAGTGTTTTAAGGGATCATTTAATGCACCAAGACAACCATCCCTAAGTAATTTTGATTTTGCACTCTGCTTACCTTATTTGTAAAATGAGTTGAAGTCTTCATATGGAAAATTAGTTATTGCCTCCTATATCAGAGCCTAAGGATCATTTCTTCTTTTTGGAATAAGAAAGAAGTAGTAAAAAATCTCATTCTCAAAACACTAATGTGATGCAGGAAAGAAAGAAAAAAGAATAACATTTATTGAGAGTCTATAATGTAGCAAGATCCAAACTAGATGTTTCATACATATTGTCTCATTTTATTCTCCTAAAACCTCGTGATGGAAGACCATGCTATTCCTGTTTTAACTAAAGCCTGTTCACTGAAAGGAACCTGGTTATGTTATGGCAACACTGTGACACCAATCCAGGTTCAGTCTGATGATGTTTGCTGTGTTCTTCATACCTTACTACTCTATCCTGGATTGCTTTCAGAGATGAGAAAATAATACTTCCTCCCAGCTTACTCCAAACCAAAACCAAAACTAGTATCCAAAAATTGGTGCTTTTTGATTTTGAAGCTTGTTCCAGACTCTTTTTCACAGAATTCTTTGGCCAAATAACATCACATTCTCTATTAAATATCTGAACTTTGTTTCTCTGGGCTGCTTTAGGTTCACTGCCAGAAGTTGTTGTCACCCATCTTCGAGCAGCTGCCCATGCCCAAGACAGAGTGTTGTCTCTGGAAGACGCTGTGGACTGGCATACTGGGGATGAAGTGGTCATTGTCAGTGGGACAGGTGTCAAAGGTGCCAGACCAGCGGAAGAGACTGTCATTGTGGAGGCCGTGCACCATGCTGACCTCCACCTGAGGTCGCCCTTGAGGTACTGAGTGACAGCTTGGCTGGGTTCACGTGAAGAGGAGGAGGTTTTAACTGTGTTGGGGTCTGGACACTGATCTTTCAGTGCTGTATTTTAAAATTAAATAATGCTAACATTCTGACAAGAACATTACAAAGCTTGAGATGTTTTGAAGACTAAGACTTCTTAAATAAGATTCTCTTGTTAAGACTCTCAAACTTTGGTGTTATATCAATTGGATAGTGCATAATCAGCACAGTTTCTAATTCTTATATATTTCTGTAGCAGTTCACTCCTTTAAATTTGAGTTTCTGTAAAACAGATCCTCAAAGGAAGAATCTCACTCATCTGGTGGCTTACTATCACCATTCTGAATAAGATTAGGGGTGACATCTTCAGATGTATCTTCCTCTTTTTCTCTTTTCAGATATTCTCACAACTTCACAGAGATTTGGGTGGCTGGAGAACACCGCATTTTAAAGGTCACAGTGGCTCTGCTCAGCAGGCGTATTACCATACAAGGAAATCTCACTAGTGAGAGGAAGACATTCCTGGCTTCCTGTCAAGAGGCCAACATGGCAGAAGGTAGAGAATTATTTCAAAGTTCAATAAGTAATGGAAAGATCAATAAGTAAAAACAAATTTTCACCATCAAATGATATGTGTCAGTGCTATGATTGACCACTTTCAAAACAGAATAAGCTCTTAACCTTTGCATGTCCATAAAATTCTGTAATTTTCAGAAGGCTCTTGAGAAATTCTCATTCCACACCCCCATACTTCCCAAGGACCTTAAGAAAGAAAGAGACAAATGACAAAAGAAATAGTAAATTAATTATTTCTCTGGTGTAAAAAAAATCCTGTTGAAGAATAAAACCTGAGAGTTGAATTACATTTCTGGGTTAGATGTCAAAGTCTTAGCACTGATTCCAAGCTTCTTCTAAGATTCTCAAGGAAACCCTAATGCCAGAATCCCAGGCTCAAGCAACACATTCCTATTGATTAGGCTTGTGCTCCCGCTCCTGTTGAGGTTTCTTTCCTGAGTGAACTACCACATACTTTAGGTAAGTGGTAGGAAAAGTCCATTTATCTTCTAGTAGAATAGCAGGCACTGAATCACACTGATGTGCCTATTAAACATCTATTTCAGGGATGGTTAGTTTAGTAGGTTATGTTTTGGTTTCCCAGGCTGTAGATTATGAGGCTTTCACATGTTGTGAAGACATCATTTGTCAACTTTGGTCCAGGATGGTGTGGGTGTCAAGGATGACTTCCAGGCATAAGCGGTGGATGGATGATGAGGCTATTTACTGAGATGGGAAGAGGAGCAGGTTTTGGGGTGGGAGGGTGATGATCATGAGTTTAATTTTGTACATGTCAAAATTGAGATGGCTGGCCAGCAATGGTGCAGAGATGTTTGATAATATCTGGAAGCTGGAAGAAATGCCAAGATGAGAGCCAAAGATCTGAGTGGTATCTGCGAATGGGTGCATGTAGATATGATATGACTGGGTAGCATGTTGTCAGTATATGGAGAAGGATACTGACCTCATCCCCCTCCACCCAAGTCATCCACTGATGAATATGTCATTCTCTAAAACAATGTTTGGGAAACAGTCGGTTAGAATCAGTTGATTGTCAACTTTAAGTATTCTGCAAAATTGCCATCTGTGTATTATTCAGACTCTCTTGATAATTCTCATATAGGTTTTTTCAGATTACATTTTGCAAAATATTGTATTCGGTCATGCTGCCAATGTGACATTGCTTCCAGGTCTGAGTCATTATAGATCCATTAACTCTTAATGGAAAGCATTCCTCATTTCATCATAAATCTTAAATGTAACTACAATATCCTCAGAATAAGTCACTCAGCCTTTGGGTGGGGCTGAAATATTAGGCACCAGTAGCTAAAGCCAATCATAGGAGACCTGACCATTTGAAAACATTATCAGAAGCACCAAGAGTTATGATAAAGCATGCAAATACAAAACATCTCATTATCTGCCTCTTATGTCCTCATCCTCTGGGCCTTAGCAAATAAGCCGACTCTGAAATTTACTATGGAATGACACATTGTTTTGTATCATTGCTAATTCTTGTTTTATTAACATGAATAATAAAGAATCAATTCAGGATATGATGTCTTCTCCATCCTGTGGTTAGTTCATACACCCATAAATCATGTGTCAGCAGAAAGCATTCTGGATCCTGAGGTCCCACACTGTAGCCATGGGAGTTGTGTCTTTTGGGTTCAGATAGTTTGCTGTCCTCAACTAGTGGCACAGCTGGGGAAGGAGGAGATGTGCAGAGGCAGCCCTTGCTTTGCCATTCTGTGGTGGCCTTATTGCTAAGTCCCTAAATTGTAAAATAGTGCAGGAAAGGGGAAAAACCCACTGGACTGTGTAAAAAGTTCTGTGACAACATTCAGTATCCACATCTCTTCCGTAAAATTGTGAACCATTTGAAGGTCATCTTACTGTGCATTCCCTTCAGTGGAATTTGGGGATTGAAATCAGCTTCTGTTTAGGTTGGTTGTGGGTTGCAGTCTGCTACTTTGTGACAATATTTAGCTGAATATTTGGGGGGTTTCTGGAAGCAGTAAAGACAACATCATGCCCTAGTTATTGAATCTTTTAATGAATAATCCAAAGAAAGGAATCAAAGTAAACATGAAAGCTATTAAATGAAATAAACAGTAATAGTTTGTCCTTGGTGCCAACAGTACCTTTCCAATGGGGGGAGTTGTCTGGAGGTATGTTCTAGTTGCTTCAGGTCCTCTGGACCTTATCCTGTGTTTCAGGCAACCTGCAGCACTGTTTGTATTCCAAGAGTGAGAAGATACTGGGATCCAGGGATCTGGGGGCCAGAGTCATCGTTTGGTCCTCCCCAGAGGAACCCAGCCAGGTCCAGTTGGAGGGGGTGGAGTTCCGAGACTTGGGACAAGCCTTCCATAAGTACATGAGATCGCTCACTCTGGTGGGCACTATGAGAGGTAAGCCAGACCTACACCTTCTCTTTTCCCTTCTTCACTCGTGTTTGAAGGCACTTTTCTTTCTTCTCTCATGTTCATGCAGGGGTCATAATAAGTAATATGTGGGAATTGAGGGATTCAGAGATAGATAATTGCTTATATTGTTGATCACTGTTTTTCAAACTTTAGTGTGCCTAAACAAGCAACTTGTGAAGCTTATTGAAATTCAGAGTTCTGGACCTTTCCCTAACAAGTCTTGTCTAAGGTGGGCCTATGGATCTAAATTCTAAATATAGAACCTTATTATTCTGGAAAAAGTAATCCAAGGAGTAAACTTTGAGAAACATCACAAGAAAGTATGGTACTTGTGGAGTGAACCACAGAATCCTGTGCTTTGATTCCTGCTTCTGCCACTCACTAGCTTTGTGACTATAGGCAGATCACTATTGAATAGTAGAAATAATAAACACACTGGGAGTCCAGGAATAGTGGAAGGCATTACTATGAAAATTTGTCCTAACTCAGAAGGATCTTCTATCTGGAAAAATGGGAAAAGATGACTGAGACCAGGTGCTTTTCTTGGGAACATGGAATAGGCAGGGGTGCAGATCTTAGGTAGGAAACAGGAAGGATAAAATCCAGGTGAGAACCTCCAGATGCAAAATGAGATCAAAATCAGAAAAAAAGAATGTAATCAGATTAAAGTATAAAAGTTCTGAAACCAGGATCAGAAAGTTGTAGGATGTGTCTCAGTGGTTGGGTGCCCCTAAGTTCAATCCTCTGTACACCGAGCCCTCTGCCCCCTACCAAAAAATATTATCCTTTATTAGTTTCTATTAAAATGCAGATATGTTTCTTTGCATAACAGGGCAGGTAACACAGTAGCCCAGAGGTTAGATATTTCTGTCTGGCATGCTTACCAAAGAACCTTTTATTAGGCCTTCATGAAGGCTCTCGTGCCCTGTGAGGTAAGTGAAGCTAGCCAATCCCTAAAAAACAAATGCCAAATGTCTTCTTTGATATAAGGAGAGTAACTAAGAACAGAGTAGGGTCGAAGAGCATGAGAAGAATATTAACATTAAACAGGGATGAGAGGTGGGAGGGAAAGGGAGAGAGAAGGGAAAATGCATGGAAATGGAAGGAGACCCTCAGAGATATACAAAAGTACATACAAGAGGAAGTGAGGGGAAGGGGAAAAATAATATAAGGGGGACAAACGAATGTCAGTAGAGGGGGCAGAGAGAGAAGAGGGGAGGGGAGGGCAGGGGAGGGGAGGGGAGGGGAGGGGGGATAGTAGAGGATAGGAAAGGCAGCAGAATACAACAGACACTAGTATGGCAATATGTAAATCAATGGATGTGTAACTGATGTGATTCTGCAATCTGTATATGGGGTAAAAATGGGAGCTCATAACCCACTTGAATCAAATTGTGAAATATGATATATCAAGAACTATGTAATGTTTTGAACAGCCAACAATAAAAAATTAAAAAAAAAAAAGTTGTTAGAATTTTTTTTTTTTTTTTTTTTTGTACTGGGGATCTAACCCAGGGGTGCTTTACCACTGGGCCACAATCTCAGCCACTTTTTCTAATTTTTATTGTGAGACAGAGCCTAAGTTGCTAAGGCTGACCTTGAACTTGTGATCCTCCTGTCTCAGACCCCCATGTCCCTTGGATTACAGGTGTGTGCCACTACAATGGTGAAATCTTTGCATAGTGCTTTCAGCAGTTTACTAGTCCCCTAAGTTCCACTCACAAGAGCTATTCAGATACATTAGTTGTTATTGATTATTTAGATGGACAGGCATGTTCTCCTGGGGTGACATGGTGGAAAGTCAGTTTGGAAAAATCTGTAACAGCCATTGTTTCTGAAAGAAGTAGATATGAGTGAGGTAATTTACGTAGTGCATCCCTGATAAGTAATATGAGGTTCCCTGGTTTAAGGGAAGCTGAGATTGAGAGACACGGGGAGGTAGTATCTATGAGGTATCACAGTTGAGAATTTTCTGGGTAGTTTAATTTTAAAAGTAATATTCCATAAACAAAACTAACCTTTCCAGTATCCCAAATATTTGTCATCTCCGTATTTTAGTACCTGGTAATAATACCAAACTCCTTTTTCAGGATTTACAATTTAACTATTTACATAATAACTATTTTAGTGTTTTAATGTCAATTTATTTCATCAGACTGAAGATACACAAATTCATCTTAGTTTTCTTCATCTTTACATCTCTAGCATAATTAACAATTCCTAAATATATACTATTGTGCATCAACTAATAATTTGGGAATGTTTTGAAAAATGCATAGTTAGGTAATTTTCCTTGTATGGACATCAGAGTGTACTTATACAACATAGGTGGTCTAGGTACATCATTCTATGTGATTTCTTGAGGCAATCAAGAGAGGAGGTTAAACATGAAATATATGAGGTTGCTACTGATATATTGTTTTACAGCAAACTTTTTTTATTTTACAAATAGAAAGATTATACTAAAAATTTTGTTTTATACAAATACCAGTAACAAAATCATATATTATCATTACCAAGTATTATATACTCTACATAACTATTTGTGCTGTGCTTTTATATACATGGCACTGCAGAAGGTTGCTTCACACCAGCATCACCACAAGCATGTGAATAATGTCTTGTGCTCCAATAGTATGATAGCTATCACATCACTGGCAGATAGGAGTTTTCCACTCCATTATAATTTTATGGAATCACCATCTGATATGCAGTCCATCATTGACAGAAACGTCATTAGTTATTAGGTGGTGCATGACTGTGCCTGATAGTCAGTAAATATTTATTCATTGACTGATCCAGGCCATATAATTTGATTTTGGGGGGGGGGTCATATATACAGAACGCAGATACAGAGCCAGACTAACAATTTTCCAAAATGTCAATTCCTTATAGCATAATAGAGGCTACTTCCCTGTTAGCTTCATAAACCTACCGTATTCAAATGTGAGAGTCATGATCCTCAGGGTCAGTGTTTGGCCTTGCTAACATTGTGGAATAGGAATCTTGGACTCTCTTTGGCCAAGAATACTATTGCTTGGCAATTTGTATATACTAATTTACAGCTCAAGGAATAATGACCACATTTCCTTAGGCAAGATGCAGTTTTCAAGGATCAGAGGTGATCCATAAGCAGTACTCTCCACAGTCCTTAACTTCTCATCTTCCCATGCTGTGGGAAGAGTTTATGCCTATCAGGAGGCCAGATAGAGTTCTTAACATCATGTATTCTATTGTGGTTTGAAGATCCTTTCTTTTCTCGGGTGATTCTTTCTTAATACTTGATCCTTAGATTTCAACCTCTATCTTTGAGGGCCATTACCCTGAGTTGCCCATTTTCTTGATTTGATTGTTGCTTCAGTCTCCTCTACTGAGTTCCCTTATTGTGTGGGAAAATATTTTTAGCCATGGTGTAGCTTGCTGTGAACATGGCCAACAGAATCTAAGGAGTCTTTGAGATCCCACTGTGAATGACACTTACTTTTTCCTGCTCAGATTCCTATGTCCAGGGCTGTACTATAAGGAGCTCCTTTAGCAGAGGCCTCAGCATATACAGGACCTTGGGCCTGAAGGTGGACAGTAATGTGTTCTACAAGATTTCAGGTCATGCTCTGCTGGTGGGTGAGTAAAACAAGCTTGTTTAATTTCAGAATTCTTGAGTAGGATGCACAGTTTTCCACCAGGAATTCTCCTAAAACATTGAATTCCCAATTTATAAAAAAAAATTTAGCTTTCTTATTAAGTTTAATTATTATTGATTGGCTTCCTAAATTTTTATCAATGGGAAACTGATCTTTTAAAGGTTCAGATGAAATTATCAACTATATAATGGGAGGTATTAAAATTTTACTGCCAGAAATTTTAAAATTCTAAGTCAGATGAATATATCCATGTACAATTTCACAGATTGTCAAACTTGGATATTGGACAAGGATTTAAAAATCTTAAATTCTCTTCTTAAATGTTCCTATGACTTGCTGGAGAAGTTCACAGTCACCCTATTTCCAATATTGTCTCCTAAAGTTCATTGCAAAACCTAGAATTATTATCCTTAGAAATCTCAATTTGGAGTAAGGAGGGTAGGGAAAAGAGAGGTACTGGGGAACAAAACTAGCCAAATTATAGTGGTATATTGTGTGCATATACAAATATATAACAATAAATCCCTCTATTAGATATAAATTATAATGTACCTACAACTCTAAAAATCTCAAATTGCATTATATCATCCCTCTTTTTAAAACCCTTTAAGAGTTTCTTATTGTTGTTAGAATATAACAGGAAAGTTATAATCTGGTTTAAAAGGCCTTTTTAGTGATCATTGCCCTGATAATCTCTGTAAACTTGTCTTGCTATTTTTTTCTCCTTCTGCACCCTAATGAGGCTGATCTATTTTATTTTATTCTTTCAAAAGATCACACTTCCTTCTGCCTCAGGGCCTTTGGACAAGCTATTCCCTTTGCTCATGCCACGCTTTTATCTGGTACAAGATCCTCCCCGCCCCCCAAACCCCTAAGTTCAGTGCTTCTGTTAAGCTCTTTAAACACCAATCAACAGTCATCAATTTAAAATTATATGTCACATTTGTGACTATCTGATTAATGTCATTTTACTACCAGATTCCATGAGGACATCCTCGTCTTAGTACTTAGCATAACCACTAGTGCATTGTAGGTCCATCGGTTGAAAGAAATGTATGAATTAATGAGCAAAAGAGTCTAGTTGTATCAGAATAAAAAAGCAAATCAGAGATTTTCACTGAAAGTTAGATTAAACTGTATTTGTTAAATAGTGTTTTGTATTTAACTCTGTGATATGATCAGTGGGAAAATATACGTTTCATTTAAGAACAGCTGTTGAGATGAAAGCTGCAAAGGTTCTAATCCTGAGAGAGAAACTGTTTAGTGAGGAAATATGGATCTTATAAACTTGCTTTAAAACAAACTCCAGCTCTAAAAGGCACAGAGCTAAGAATATTGGAGATGCTCAGGTGCAGAAAAATCTTTTGGTTATAAAAAGGGAGTCCAAGAGAAGTGAAACTAACCAACATTGGATTTCTTTATTTTTATTTTTGTCTGTGTAAAAGGAAGGGTGACACCTTCAGCAGAAATTCAGGAAGAGATCCCAATGATATGTAATGGACATTAATCAGGCAATAAAGCAAGCCCACAGGAGGAAATCTCCTTGGATATTATGAATTATAGGCTCTTGACATCTAGTGTATTATAATGAGGAAATTAAAGTATTTGTTAACACATTCTATATAAAGTAGTCTATCTTGTTGCAAGTTTGCAAACACAGACCTGTGAAATGACGTGGACAGGGTTCTGTTGAGCTGTTCCCTGTTGATATGGCTTAAGTGATGAATCTTTCTCTACGTGTCATGACCCAGGCATATTCCTCTGTTCTCTTCCTCTCTATCTCACTGGGTTTGAGGGTCCCTGGTACCATCCTTTTCACTCCTCCAGGACATTCCAGATCCTTCAGGGGAGTAGGGGACCTGTGGATTGTTGGTGGTCAATTTGAACATCTAGGGCTGAGACTATACTGACACAGGTTGTGTCTGCATTTGACAATAGAGACAGTCAGTCTCCAAAGTAGTGAAATAGAAGACAAATTACTCTGCTTTTCTTTTTACTTAAAGTAAACTTCTGATCCATAATACTCTAGAACTAACATGTTCATACTATTTATATTTCTTTATATGGTTCATAGATAAAAACATAAAAATAAAATTAGAACAACCAATACCCCAAGTGAAAATAGGTTGCAGTGTCCCATGTTTTCCTGAGTGGCATCAAATATGCTGAATTGATATGGTTTTTTGTTCTCAGGGACGTACATGGGGATGAGCTATATCTCCTGGGAAACGATTCCTGGAAGAAAAAATGGTAAAATATATAAGTTGATTTTTTAAGTCTGTTATAAATCTATTACAATCCATTTTCAATTGTTATATATTTTATACACAGACCTGATGGCAAAATGTTAGATGTCTCCAATTTATTCAGCATACTAAATGTTTTCTAAAGATGTATCTATATTTGTATCTACAAATAGACATATATCTACATATAGAGTACATTTTGTGGACTCTAATATTATTAGTAAAATCCAGTGTTGAGCTGTGCAAATTTTGATTGTGTTTGTGAATTCCCTGGGTTTGATTTATCTTTTTTGAAATTAGACTGGTCAGAACAGGGAAATATGATAAGAAACAATGTGATCATCAGTGTTTCTGGTGCTGAAGGCCTCTCCAGTCCTGAAATGTTGACACCATCCGGCATCTATATCCGTAGTCCCACCAATGTTATAGAGGTAAGAGCTTCATCTCCCCCAGAAGGGTTAGAGCTAAGGGCACACAATTTACTCCAAAAGCTCACTAGAGTAGCAACATATGATTTGAAATATTTGCTTGCTCTACATTAATATCAATAAATTAATTTATGCTTTTATTTGTTAGACAAGCACTTCAGAATAAATTTAATCATTTTCTCAGGACTCCTATAAAGAACTCTTTGGAGCAATATTTATATAGAACATAACAATGGAGATATTGATTATTTTATAGTCATTCAGATTAATGCAAAGCATATGATCTCTCTGAATTATCCACTGTGAATGCTGATTTTTATCTCTCTTGATTCCAATACCAATTGCTTCCAATACCAACATGTTTACTATTTTGCTATGTTAAATGTGACCATATTGTTGCCTTTTAAGCGTGTTCAAAATTGAATAAGGAGGTGTATGAGATCATGTCAGATTTCAGGAGGATGAGGCATACATCTTTTTTTTTTTTAACCCCACTTACTTGGTGCAAGTTAACATTAATTTCTCTTGGCAACTTTTTAACAACTTTATAACATTAGTCTTTCTGTGTACAGTTTAATCATAGAACTGTGAGTGAGGGATTGCCTCAGAATAGTGGAAGATCACTTAATTTCTTCCTTCCCAGTGACTTTGTCCCCTCCACTGTCTATGCAAGAGGGCAGGGCCATGGTATTCCAGGACACTGCTCTGAGCATCTTCTGTGCCATGACAATTCTGCCAAGCTTCTGAGGAACTCCGAGGATGAGCATGTTTCTCACCAAGCATCTGTTTTTAATTACCTTCAGCTGAATAACTCTGATGAAAGTTGTGGTTACCAGTTCAGTCCTCCTTAGACTCTTAATTGTGCTTATTCCAAGCACAGCATTTACACACCATTTTAGGCGCCTAATAGGGGTGGCTAATATGCCAGCGAGGAAAGGAAGCAGAACTGCATGCATCGTAAGAAACCAAATTCTAGACAAATTGCATTTAACTTGTTGGTCACTACAAGGCTTGTTGCACAGCAAGCTTGGGGTCTAAAGAACCATGTATTCCTGTACTTTCTTGACTACCTTGAAATGCCTAGAGGAAGGAAACCCTTGAGATTGCCCAGCTCATCTTTCAGAGTGAGGCTGAGATGTCCTTGCCTCACTGTGTAGGAAGTACACTTTCTCCCAGGCAGGTCTCTTGGCCACTACTGATAGGAAGAAGTATCAACCTGCCTATAGTTGCTGTGAGCCAGAGAACCATCTGAAGAGCTGGTGGGTCTCCTAAGCCTTTATAGACTGACCTATAGAATGATCCCCTGTGGAAAAACTGGAGGGGAGGGAACGGAGGGAGTGAGATAGGTCAAATTATGTTATGTACATGTGTGAATATGGCACAATGAATCTCACTATTATGTATAATTATAATGTGCCAATTAAAAAATTTAAAAGAATTGAGTTCACAATAAGCTATTTGTTTCTCATGCAGATGACTAAGGAGGACTGAATGGGTAAGCACAACTTTTATCAGGGGTTATTCAGCTGAAGGTTACTCAGCTGAGGAAAGTAAAGAATCAAATCTAAAATTTAAAAATCATTTTGATGATTGAGAAATAGAAGTTTAACCAGTGACAGCATTTAGATCCTGTTGGACTCATCTGTCAGTATTAAATCTTTCCAAGTCCAGCCCAATTTTTCAGCCAGGTTGCTGGCTTTCTAATATGCTGTATCTTCTGTGTTCTATTGTCTGGACTGTGCCATCACTGAAGACAAGGGTGTTAACTGAGCATGAAAGAACGAACAAGGCTTGTCGTCAGAGCAAATGCCCGTTTATTGAGGAACAGCTCTGCATATTTATAGAGCCAGGGGTGGTTTGACAGTTGTCATGGGGTGCTTTTTGATTAGAGGGTAAGGATCAGGTGAGCCAGCAGGACTAGTCTGATTGGTGGTTAGGATCAGGTGAGCCAGCAGGGCTCTGATTGGTGGGTAAGGATCATGTGAGCCAGCAGGGTTATGATTGGTGGGTAAGGATCATGTGAGCCAGCATGGCTCTGATTGGTGGGTAAGGATCATGTGAGCCAGCAGGGCTCTGATTGGTGGGTAAGGATCATGTGAGCCAGCAGGGCTCACCATTGGAAGGCTCTTCTTGGGCTATGGGGAAGTTAGTCTTTGGAGCCTGGGCGACTCCCAACAGGGCATAAATATAAAAGCATGAGAATTATAAACTTCATTGGACCTTGAGGGTCATTGAAGGTCATTTCAGTTATTGAGCAAGTGATAAGTTAGTGTTTGTTGAGGTTTTCTTTTCTGGATGATACACAAAGTACTCTGAAGAATATATTCTAGAAATGTAGTTTTATTGCAAAGGGGTATGAGACAACAACGATAGTAATATGTATATGTGTGTTTGTGTGTATATATCTGTAGTGTGTGGAACAGAAAGAGGAGCTGTTTCATGGGTAGTGGTTTTCGTTTAGCTATGTGACTGGTTCAGGACCAAATTGCCCCTTGAGAGAATGTATATAAGCCTGTGTATCAGTGGATTAGTATGTTTAATTCAGACTGTCTTTGTTATTTTAAACTTTAAATTTTTGAAATAACTTCAAACTTAGAAAAATTGCAAAAATATAAGAGAGTTTCTATATGCCCATCACCTAGTTTCTACCAGTGATAGCGTAACTACCACCTGGTCATGGAACAATATCAAAACCAGCACATTACACTGGTATGATACTGTGAACTAAACAAAAGCCTTTATTTAGACATCAAGAAGGTGGCCTAGGCTTTGTGTCTTGGCAGCATTCCCAGGAGCCTAAACTTTCTCTCTCCATGTGCATGAGTCTTCCCTTGAAATCTCTGACCTGACAGGCAGGAGAAGAGATCTTAAGTCTATGCAATAGTTTGTGGATTTATATTATTCCTCAGTTGTCCTGACCCAGAGCCTTGGACCTTTCTCTCAGTCACAGTGTAAGGAATTCACCCTGGCTTCCAGTCAGCCACCTTTACAGTTCCCTCACCTTCTACTCTGCATGGTAGAAAGGAATTTCAAGTGCAGTATCTCCATTTAGTTTACACATCCGCAGATGGTCTGCTGTGTCCCTGTGCAGGCTGCAGCTTCTCCAGCTTCAGTTTCTCTGAAAAGCAAACTCTGAGTCCTACACCTTTTTACCCATGAGGACTCACGTGCTATATCCTGTTGGAGTCTCCCAGGGCCTTATGGGATTCCTTTGTACACTCCTTTATAGGCCTTTGAGGTGCTTTCTAGAAAAAGGTGGCAGTTCTTCTACACATTGCCATGGTTTCTTGGCAAACTTCATGCCCAGTCTGTCTTCCCTCAGCATTGGTGTCTGTGGCTCCTTTCACAAGCATTGCTTGTATCTGTCCAGAGGCTCCATCTTGCTGGAAGGTGTAACCTATGGGAAACTGTCCCCATCTTCTCAGGCTGGACAGTCTTTGCTTTCAGATACAAGAGACAGCTCATGTCCAGAGCATCAGAGTCTCCCATGTTTATGTAGATGTTGGAAATTCTCTCTGAGCAGACTCCTGTTTAGGAAAGTCTGTGGGAAAATCCTGAAGAAGAGCCCTTTGGAGACACCATTTAATTTGAGGGGAATTTGTTCTGGTTTGTGAATCAATTTTGTAAGGAATTCTGTGTTTAAAGGCCCAACTTCAGTTCTCGAGCTCTCTCCACTCAATAGGTAATGCATATTTAAGAGCTGCCTGAAGGGTTAACTGACTTTTTTCTTGTGACTATAGATGCACACCTCAAGGAGCTGGCTTACTTGGGCAGTTAATTTCTCTCTGGAATTTCTCTTGCTTGAATGTCCATAATACATTGACTTCCGCAAAGAATTGATTTCCACACAAAATTCCCTGCTTGCCTTAAACCCTTCCCCGCAAGCCGTTGGCTGCCTGCATAAATATGTGGTTTCCTCATGAATCGTTTGTAGCATACCCAATTGGAATTGAGAGTAAAAGGGCTGGGAAGAAATGTGATCTGACTGTCGATGTGCTTCTTTTATGAGAAAAGTGAGACTTATCGACTGATAGAGGACCACAGTTGCAATCTCCTGCCCACCTAACAATGCACCTGGAAAGTGTTTATATGTGATCATGCAAATATTCCATAAACGCTAATGGCATTAGGGCAGATGAGTCAACAAATCCAGCCATTAGCTAAAAATGCATGCTTTCTGAGCACTGGTGCTGGCATTGGTGATGAAAAGAGTTACAAGCCATGGACTATATTTTTGAAATGTTGAAAACTTTCCCCTTTTCATAAAGTCTTGGTAATGAACTGTCATTTCATTGGTAATGAAGTAGAAGTGTATATCCAAGTGAGATCATCAACTTTAGCCTTCAGGGTACAGTTCTCATTATATACTTTCAGAAAAGGTGGGTTTAAGAAACCTCTCTCTCTGGCCTGAGGATCACAGGTGTGGGTCTTGGTGTGATCACTTGTGTGATAGGGATCTGGACACTATGCACAGGTTTTCTTGAAGGTGGGGCTTCACAATTATTCTGAAGGGAAAGGTTTTAGTAGTTAATCATGATTGGGAACAAGAGCTATGGCATTTCTTGCATATTGATGAGGATCAAAGAAATATACTGGGCATTTATATTTGCCCATTCAGAGACAAAGATTCTTCATGGGCTTGAAACTCATTAGTGCATACTCTGTTTTGTGCATAGGGAAGAATTGAGATAGCTGATTTAATATTACTAAATGTACTTTTGACATGCATAAGGCCAGATTTGATTGCTTAAAAACATATAAATACCCACTTCATTAGGACTATTTTTAAAGCATTGATTTTATAACTGATAATATCTTCATGCTTAAGTTGGAAATATGGAATTCCATCAAAATTTAGAGATGGGCTACTGGAAAGTAGGTATGGATTATTTTCATGGATCCAGTGTAGATTGAAGACTATACAGTTTCTCGGCTCTGGCAGTGCTGATATTTGGTCCAGGTGATCCTTTGTGATGGATGCTGTCCTCTGTGATGCACTATCTTTGATTTCTACTTACTGCAGATAGCACTTTCCTCCACCTTCTGAGTTGTAACAATCAAAAATGTCTCCAGAGAGTTCCAAATGCTCTCTGAGGAATGAAATTATCTTTGGTTGACAAGTTCTGCAATAAACTAAGATCAATGAAGGCTTAGCGAGGACCCTGGATCCCTGAAGTCATGTTAGCATCTTGAATAGTAATTCAACTGAATATCGTTGATATCCAAAATCCACTTTTGCTGAATACCACGTGGTGAGACCTGTGACAAGTACTGTAAATGACCTCTGGAAGATGGAGAAGTGCTCAGAATCAAAATAATGAAGTGCAGTGAGAATGGGTCAATTAGTCCACAGAGGGGGAAAAAAAAACAACTATTCTGCAACTGAGTAAAAACCATAAAGAATGGCTGTCTTTCTACTAATACCCAGGATAGGAGAACTTCCGGGGCCCACAGTGAACAACAAGCAAAAGTTCAGTAACAGCATGATGGCTGCATTGACGTGAGCTGGTTCCCCTCACCTGGCCGCCTGCTCATCTGACTTCCAGCCTCAGGGTGAGCTCTGGTTCTGCCTCATATTCCACCAGAGCCTGAAGCCCTCCTGGGATTGGGATGTTAGTCCCTCCTGACAGGAGTCAGGGAACTGAAGAGTACTGGTTTAGAAATAGTGCATGTTATTTAGAAATAGTGCATTGTTGGATGTTGCATACATGTAATCCCAGCTGCTGAAGATGCTGAGTAAGGAAGATCACAGATTTGAGGCCTGCTTGTTAACCTGAGGGAGACACTGTCTCAAAATAAAAAATAGAAATGGCTGGTGATGCAGCTCAGAGACAGATTGCTTGCCCTGTATATTGGAGGCTTGGGATTCAATCCCCAGAATCCTGACCAAAATGGAAAAAATAAATGTAAAAAATCCTATTTCAGATTTTTTCCCCACAGGGGCTGTGCTTGGCTATGTGTACATGTGTGTATGTGTGTGTGTTCCTTGTGGAATGTGTGACACATCCAGAGAGGAGCAGGGTCTTCAAGCTCCCCTTCTGTCAAGGGTGCTGCTACATCATGACTACCAGTGGGTCACTCAGGGTCAAAGAGACACCTTTAGTAGTAAGACCTAAAGTTGTTATTTTGTTTATGTGTTACAGTCAATAAAATATTACTTAAAGGGAATGAGGATGTTATGGAGAAGGAGAGTTCTGGAATCCCAGAATAATGTGCATCAAAATGTCACATCTATTCCCAGCCTACCTTTGGGAAATGTCACACATCCTTTCCTTCAAGTCTCTCTCTGCACTCTGAGCTAAGCATGTTTCTTTTCTATGTGATGACGGTGGAAGGGATTCTATATTGTCTGGATTTTGGGTGTGGAAAGAGAAACTCCTTAGCTAAATTTGACCTGAAAAGCATTCTCTAATTTTGGAGAAATATGTATTTATGTAGCAATATCACTTACCCTAGTCCTGTTTACCAGGTAACCTTGTGTCTGAAGGGCTAGACTACTGTCTTTATGGTGAGAATAGATACACACCTCAAAGAATTGACTTACTTGTACAGTTCATTTGTGTTCTGTTAATGCCCACAAAAACACCAATTTTTGCAGAGAACATGTTTCATATGCTGTGCTCATAATTGGAAGGCCACAGCAAATGCCCCTTCCTCCCAGCCTGGTCACCAGACTCTGCTTTCTGCTCTGCTGTGTATATTTTACCCTCTTCTGAATTGCACAGAAGTGTTGTTTACAGATCTACTCTAGGCCACTGTTTCTATCATTTCCCATTTTGACTTGGAGTTGGTTTTGGCAATTATTTACTCTCTGACTTTGGGGAAGTTACCCAGCATTCCTGAGTGTGGGTTTCTTTTCTGTTACACTTGTAATCATAATATATACCTCACAGAATTGTGAAAATCAATGAGACACTTGAATCTGGCAACTGGACTAAAATGGCTTCTCTATAAATCTTTATTTAAGGTGAGTATTATCATTGTACTTTGTAATAACTTCTTTCAGAAAATATAAAAATACATCTAAGTTTCAAATTGAACTGAAATGTAACTTGCACAGAACTGGACATTCTTTTTGCTTAGGGTCTAGTAACAGATTCCCACTGATTTTCTAGGTTTCTTTCCTCCTTCAGTTTTCAGCAGTGATTTCTATTTGTAGTGAGTTTCTTATGGCAAAATCACCAAGAAGTGATCTTTTCCAGTGTCTCTCTCCTCTTTGAACATCTTCTAGGATGAGTAACTACACAGTACATTGTTGCTCTCTCAGTCATCTCTAGGAAAGTCATTCTCAAAACGGGGTCAAAGATCACATACATCACAACCATCAGAGCATCTTGTGATTAAGAGGGCACCTGTGTCCCCATCTCTTCATCATGCTACCATCTGCTAAACTGGAATGTTGGGTGGTAGGGCCTAGAAATCTTTCTCTTGCATACCCTCACGTTAGGGTTCCCAGAGAAAATACAGCATACCTGGCCAAATTTAAATTACAGATATGCAACAAACAAGTTTTTAGTATATGTATCTTCTGTATCATGATTAGAATATACTTATATTCCAATTTCTGGGTATTTAAATAATATGGAATTCAAATTTCTCTGGCAATTCTGTGTTTTGTTTTGTTTTGTTATAGGGGATTGAAGGGCTTACCCAATGGGCCACATCCCCAGCCTTTTTTTTTTTTTTTGTATTTTATTTAGAGACAGAGTCTTGCTTAGTTGCTAAGTGCCTTGCCAAGATGCTGAGGCTGGTTTGAATTTGCAAATTCTCCTGCCTCAGCCTCCCAAGTCGCTGGGATTACAGGTGTGTGCTACCATGCCCAGCTGAATTCTGTTTTTGTTTGCTAAATCTGACAACTTTACACTACTACACATTAAAGTTTAAGAAGTGGTTCTAGCCTGGCACAGTGGCACATGCCTATAATCCCAGTGGCTCTGGAGGCTGAGGCAGGAGGATCCAAAGTTCACAGTCAGTCTCAGCAACTTAGCAAGACCCTGTCTCAAAACAAAAAAGTAAAAGAGCTTGGATGTGACTCAGTGGTTAAGCACCCCAGGATACAATCCCCAGTACCAACCAACAAACAAAAAACCAAAGTGGTTTTAGGAGGGTGTGCATAGTGTAGATGCCACTGAGCCCAGCACAGAGGCAGGAATTCCACAGAAGTGTTGTTTACAGAATGGTGTTTAATGCCTTGCTGGGTCAATGGTGTTACAATCCTTCCTTATCCCCATTTTTCTTTTCTGTGTCCTGATCCGTGTTCAGGATGAATGTTCCAAGCCCTGCATTGTGTGCTGTTGAGACTGAGTTACTTATAGGGAGGACACCCTGGGCGTTCTTTGCCCCACACCACCCCAACTGTGTCAAACCTTGATAAGGTCAGGATGAACCATGTGGGAGCCTCTGAGACTCGCTGTATTAGGGTGGAAAAAGTGTAGCCTGCAACAGGATGAGCAAGCTGTTCTTAACTTGGATTCCCTCATTAGACATGAACATCTTGGCCTCAGACAGGCTCTCAGGCTGGGGGCGCATATGTGTACAGTGACATAGGAAGCAGTCCAGCAACTCCATCGATGGCCTTTATTCTTCCCATCCACAGTGTCACCCTAGTGCAGTAGTCTGATGGGGTCCCTGGTTTTTAATCAGAGTTCTGTCTCCCTGATGTTGGGGAGAAGAAAGAGAGGATAGACTCTTCTGAGATGTGAGCATCTGCCACTGGCAGGGCTCAGAAGCAATTCAGAAAAAGGGTCAATAGAAACGTCCATGGAATAGCCAACATGCCAGTTATTTTAGTGCTTGGAGTTTAGAGGTTGCAAATTCAAAAGTGTACAGGGTCTAGGGAAAAGCATCATAAATATATAAAACCAGAAGGGTGGGGAGTACAGAAAGATAATCCATGGCCAAGAAGGTGGGTCCTTCTTATCTCCAGCTGATCCTGGACCACACCACAGGAATTTGGATTCAGAAAAGCTAAAAGTCTGATTTTTTATATTGTCTCCTAATTTTAAAATGATGGAAATAGAATAAAAAATTTGGAAACATTGGGTAAGCCAAGTAAAATACATCTGTGTGCACTATCAAACCTTTTAGAAAGTCAATTTTCTTAGCTATCTTACACGGTATTACATAGCTACGAACATGTTATAGAAACTTCTTAGAATTTATAAAAATAATCTCATTATGTTTAGTTTGTGCAAAATTAGATTCCCAAACTCAATGGTCCAATAGAGAATTTAGATTTTATGTGAAAATATAAAAGACACTAAATTATGTTGATAGCAAATCCTATAAAGAAATATTAAGATGATTTAATAATTTAAGCAGCACAAGAGGGCATTGAGGAGATTTGGCTTGTACTTGAACTCCACCACCATGTCTCAAACTCAAGCATGGCTAACTCAATCATTTGGCCTTCTGCTCAGAGCCAAACCATTGACTGTGTATCTTTGTGTATATCATAGAGGAGAGGCTCAGATTAAGTGTCACATGTAACCCTCTCGCTGTGCAAACTTAAAAGGTAGACAATAAAAGATGCTAGTTCTTGAAGTGTGCAAATTATGATCTAGGTGAGCTGCCTGGAGGAAAGGGAGTGGGAAAGATTTTGATCCTGAGGGGGAAAAATAAATCCACAAGCGTTTCAGTATGTTAACGCAAAGTGTATAAAAATGTAGAATCATTGCAAATAAACAGTTTTTTCTTTTTCAGCAACCTCAACATATGTGGAATATATTTCAGTTTAAAAAAAATTATTCATAATTTCTGTAGGGGAACAGAGTGTGTGCTGCTGGCTATGGATACTTTTTTCATCTTGTGACCAGCCAAACATCGCAAGCTCCACTCCTGTCATTCACTCGGAACATTGCACATTCTTGTACAAGGTAACTTTGGGAAAATTCAAATGTGAAATGCTTGTGATTTAGCATTTTTCTTTGGGACACTCACACAAGGGAAAAACATTTGACATTTTCATTTGATATTTGGTGATGCTGAAACTGGAGTTTTGAGATGAGACTATATTCCCTGCTTCTGTTGGTGGATGGGGTTTGTGCAGGCCATAGGCCTCACCGACTGCTTTCTGGGTTCTTTTCTCACAAATTTGAGGAATACAATCCATGTACAATAACAGAAGAGAAGAGTGAATGGAGTAGGATTTACTTAGATAAGAAAATAAGACAGAGCACTCCCACAATAGAGGGGAGATTGATAGCAGAAAACCCTTGTTGGTGTGCTAGCCTGAGGGCCTATATGATTTTTGATTATGATCATTGACCAAAATTTATTTTAAACAGGCATTGAAAAAGCACCAAAGCAATTGGTCAAAATCTATGTTAAATAGATACTGTTTAACATAGATAACAGATAACATAGTGTTAAGGCTCTTGGCTTGGTTCTTTAGTTTTTGAGTTTTAATCCTTCCAGTAACACCCCTCTGGGTTCATCCCCACCTTCCATTTTTCCTCTGGGACAAAGGGGTTGACTAGAATGTTCCCAACATTTTACTTACTTTCATAAGCAAAGTCTCATGGTCTTTACTTATGAAAAAGACTTTGATGGGGCCCATTACCCGGATTGCTTGACCATTATATATTCTTATTTAATGTTGCCAATTTATTTTTTTTAAATCACATTATTGAAGTGTGATTGGTGTACAAAAAGCTGCATATATGTAGTGTGTACAACTTAATAAATTTGAAGAGAAGTATACACCCATGAAACCAATGTCAAATCTATGCTACAAGCATATTCATTACCACTAACAGTGTTATTAACCTTGTCCAGCATAGCATCCTCTAGGTTTATCTACACTGACACAAATGGGGGATTCTTTTCTCTTTAAAAGCCATATAATATTCCACTGTCAGCGTGTACACATTTTCTCCATTCATTCATCTGTTCATGAACACTTACAGTACATGCTTGTCTTAGCTACTGTAATTGTGTAAGCATTTTGGATCATGAAAATTTGGTGGTGAGGGGAAGGAAGAAGTCACTTGAGAAGGCAGCAGGTCAGACTGTACCTGTTGTACCTGGAGAGAATTCTACAGACAGAGCAATTAAACTTCCAAGAGATTGAAGCAATTGGTGATGCAAAGATCATAGGAAGCTGGTGAGTCTGACTCAGGACCCCAATGGAGAAAATAGTCTTGGAGAAGAGGCTGGGCCCCTGACTTGCTCCTTTTAAAAGAAGAAAAAACTTGTTAAGTCTTTGTTATGTAGACAGAAAGGCCTTCTAAGAGCAAGGACTTGGGAAACAGGTGGGGGAGAGAATTTGAGAAACATGAAAAATGCTGTCTTTTAGAATCAGATTCTGATTCAAATCCCTTAACTCTACTCCCAGTAGATTCACTTTTTTTTTTTTAAGTCAGATACCTTATTTGTAAAATAGGCACAAATCTGCATTGAAAGTTCAGTGTGAGGGGTTGGGCTTGTGGCTCAGTGGTAGAGTGTTTACCCCAGCACATGTGAGGCACTGGGTTTGATCCTCAGCATGACATAAAAATAAATAAAGGTATTGTGTCCATCTACAACTAAAAAAATTTTTTAAAAAGAAAGTTTGGTATGAAAATTAGAAATGATTTATGTGATACATTGAGGAGAGCACCTGAAATGTAATAGCAACTTGATACTTGATAGCTATAAATAATTATGACAATAATTTTAGTAATGCAACTATGATGTTAAATGATAAGATGAATAGAATAAGGATCATGAACAATTGCTTAGCAATGTTGAGATGCCAGTTGAGGCGGGGAGTAGTACATGCTGTTGAAATTATCATTATGACCAAGAAGATTTTATCCAGCAGCTCTGGGAAGTTCTGGAATGTGAGGGAAGAAAGTATCCCTACCCAGAGAACAGTGATGGTCAGGCATTCCAGAAAGAACAAAAGGTGAAAGGATTACAAAGGCCAGTATCCACTCATGTAAGAAGGGTGAATTCAGAGGGGTTGACAGAATAACAAGGAACCTATAGGCTGCATTTTGTTAAGATGCAGGCCCCAGAGGCAACAGATTGGAAAGGCTGAGGGATGAGCAGTGACAGAGAGGAGGTTCACAGGCTTAGTGATCTCCACTCACTCATATTTACTACTTTTATGTCTGATGAGGGATTCATATTCAGAATATATAAGGCAAATGCTTCAATAGCAAAAATAGGGGTGGGGGCAATAGAACTAAATTGACATTTTTTTTTTCCAAAGAAGTCATGCAAGTGACCAAGAAATATATGAAACAAAAAATTCTTAAAATCACCAATCATCAGGGAAAGGCAAATCAAAATCACAGCGTGATAACACTTCATAGTTGTTAGAAGAGAGATAATCAGAAAGACAAAAGGTAAGTATTGGATAGGATGTGGAGAAAGAGAAAAGCTTGTACAGTATTGGTGGGAATATAATGTGTGGATAAACACTCTGAGGAGCCCTCAAAAAATTAAAAATGGAACTACCACATGATCCATCAATTTCACTACTGTGTATGTATCAAAAAAAAATGAAATCAGTCTGTTGAAGAGACATCTGTACTCTCATGTTCATTTTAGCACTATTTGTAATAACAAAGAAATAGAATCCATGTGTCTATCAAGTGATGAAAAGGAAAATGTGGTACACATACACAGAGGAATATTTTAAGCTCTAAGAAAATGTCAAATACTGTCATTTGTGACAATATGAATGAAGCCGGAAGACATTATGTTGAGTGAAATAAACCAGACTCTGAAAGACAAGGACCCCAGGATCTTACTTATATGTGGATTCTAAAAAGTTTATCTCACTTAAATTGAGAGTCGAACAGAGGTTAGCAGAGTCTAAGGAGAGCAGAGAGAGAAGGATCAAGTACCAAGTTATAGTCAGGAGAAATAAGTTGTGGTATTCTGTTATACAGCAGGCCTGGCTGTGTTGTAGGATTCTTGCACAGAGAGACAGGATACCAGGGCTTTCAGCAGGAAGCCGTGTTTATTGGTGCTGGCACTGGCCCAGCAGGCTCATAACTAAAGGCTGACCCCCAGCACAGCAGGGCATTGCTTCATATACCCTGTGTTAGTCCTCCCCATACCTGTTAGCCCTGTTGCCTCCCTTATATGGTGCCATACATTCTGATTGGATATTCTCTACTACAGAGATGCAACAGAATTGTGGTAGAGTTACCACATATTTTGGACCTAGGTACTAAATGTGCCATGTCACCTTCTTTTTGTTGTGGGAGAGCTAGCTACAGATAATGATAATGTAATGTATATTTCAAAAAATCAAGAAGAAAAGATTTTGCATATTCTCATCATGAAGAAATTATGTTTGAGGAGGTAGACATACTTACCCTATATGAACATTACATAACGTGTACATGAATAGAAGGATCACATGAATTCTATAAATATGTACAATTATTCTGTATTAGTAATCCCAGAGACTCTGGAGGCTGAGGCAGGAGGATCTCAAATTTAAGGCCAGCCTCAGCAATTTAGTAAGGCCATAAGCAACTGAGCAAGGCCCTATCTTAAAATAAAAATAAAAAGTTCTTGAGATAGGGTTAGTAGTTGAATGCTCCGGGGTTCAACCCCTAGTACCCAAACAAAGAAGCAAATGAAAACAACAACAAAAAATGAATAAACAGAAAACAAACAATTATTATGTATCATTTAAAAAAATAAAAACACATAAAACTTTTGTAATTCCAAGGTGAAAAATTAGGAAATTAGAAAATAGCAATTGGCTTAGTTTTATTCTTTGTTTCACTTTGTAGGTATGGTCTCTTTGTATATCCTAAGTTTCAGCCACCTTGGGACAATGATTCTGGCCCCACTGTGCTCCAAAACTTCATGGTTTGGGGAAGTGCAGGTGGTGCCCAGGTAAGTTTCATTAGCTTTTTGAAAAACTAAAACTGTTTCTTATTTTATTCTGACAGTTTATTACATATTTCTAATGAATGGGATGATTTATTGGTGAGGGTGGCACTGACACGTCACAACACCAATAGCATCAGAGGTGTGTGTGGAGTAGTTGAATGAACAAAGTCTTGTCGGTCATCTAGAGTTAGGTCATTTTCTCTATGGGACTTTTCAGCAACCCCAATAGAAAATAGGATTTAATAACCAGGATGAATTAGGGATTTTAGAGGTCCATCCATTCTTCCTTTCCCATACCTACTTGCAGATAATAAATCAAAGTATAAAATATAAAATTTGTCAATGTCACATAGTTGCTTAGTAGCACAAGCAGGTACACAGTCCAGATACGTTGTTGCACACCGGATACTCTAATATCCTGAATAATGCCTATACCAGTCTTAGGAAGAAGCATGGCTCATCATGAGAACACAATTCCAGCTCAAGCTGCCATCCTTACTTTAATCAATAAATTCTTCATGTTTAATCATTTATGTTTTATTATCACAATGATTTTTTTAAGAAGACACTTTGTATGTTCAATGCTATTAGCAACATATAAAACTATACAGGGTGGCGTTGATGCTGTATGAATTGCATACATTTGGTCTCTGAAATCTGGTCTTAGAAATCTGAAGCCAAAGATATATAAATGAAAAAAATGTTTATAGCACATTCATGAAATAAAATAAAATCATATAATTAGCTCACAATTAAAGTCAAATATTTATTTTATATATCCAACAAGAAGGAGATACTTGTAAATAAGGAAAGCTCAAAAATACATCATTAATGGGAATAACTGGAAGACTACCACTTGCTTTTGGTAGTTTGTTTTCATTTCTTTCGTGGGGGGGCGGGGGAGTACCCGGGGTTGAACTCAAGGGCACTGGACCACTGAGCCACCTCCCCAACCCTATTTTGTATCTTATTTAGAGACAGGGTCTCACTGAGTTGCTTAGTACCTTGCTTTTGCTGAGCCTGGCTTTGAACTTGCAATCCCTCTGCCTCAGCCTCTTGAGTCTCTGGGATTACAGACATTTGCCACCACCACACCCGGCCTGTTGTCATTTAATTTTATGAAACACTTTCTCTCCCATAAAGGATGAAAAGTTTACTAGACACACAGGTTTACAGTCTGTGCTCCCTGTCCTTGAGGACATCTCCAATGAAACAAGACAATTAAAAGACATTTATTGAAGATAGTTTTTATTTTTTATTTTATTTTATTTTTTAAGGGTCTGCCATCAGGAATTCTAATCCTGTGAAAGAAAAAATAGGCCCATACAGATTGAGCTCTTGTGCACTTAAGTTTGGTTAGTCAAAGAGTTCAAATAATAAGAAGGTCTTTGGAACTTCACTCTTATGAGGAAAAATAAAGAAAACGAAATAAAAAGCATGATGGCAGGGAATTTAGAAAGTAATTATCTCCAAAATAATCCTGAGTAAAGAATCAAGATTTATTCTTCCCCACTTGAAAACTTACTACAAAGTGATGATAATCAAGACAGGTAAGGGAACAAAAGTAGAAAAACCAAGCAGTGGAATACAGTTGAGAGTCTAGAAATAAGCCCCTAGGTTTATGATCAAATGAATTTTGATGAATGATGTTTAGACCACTCAACGAGGACAGTAACAGTAACAGTCTTTCCAACAAATGGCATTTGGACAACCAGTGCGCCTCATGCAAAAGAATGTTGGGAGTTTAAAATGCTCCAGTCTCTTTAGGAAATATTCTGGTAGATTCTTAAATGATTAAATAAATAAATAAAATAAAGTTACCATATAACTCATGAATTACAGTCCTAGGAATATACCTAAGAAAAAAAATTTAAAAAATATGTACAAACGGAAACTTGTATCCAAATGTTTATAGCAGTATCATTATTCATAATAGCCAAAGGACAGAAACAACCCAAATGTTTATCAGTGGACAGATGGATAAAGTGTGACAGATTCATGCCATGGAAAATGCTTCACCCAGAAAAAGAAGTGAAGTACTTACATATGCTGTCATATGAATAGACCTTGAAAACATTATGCTAAATGATAAAAGTCAATAACAGAAAAAAAGGCGCCCTATGTTATTTTCCTCAACTAAATATCCAAAATAGGGAAGGCTACAGAGGTGAAACAATTAACACTTACTTAGGGGTGGAGGGTCAGAGATAATAGTGGAAATGGAATGAGGAATGATAGCTAAAAGGACATGCATGACCTTTCTTCTTGAACTGAAAACAAGGTTCTAGAGTTGACTGTGGTGATGTTTGCCCATATCTGTGAATATAGTAGTACCACTGAATTGTAAAGTAAGTTAGGTGAATTGTATAGAATATGAATTATATTTTAATAAAGCTGTTTACAAAAGGGTAATATCCTATGTATCTGGTTATGCAAACTCTCAAATGTTCCCATTTTCTTTTAATGACTTTGAGAAAAATCCTCCCTAACTTCTGCTTCATTGGTAAGATGGAGACAGTAATGGTAGCTAAAGAATATTTGTTTTAAGTGTTAAATAAATCCCTAAGTACTAAGTTACAATTCCATAGGAGAAATAGTTCTGGTGAAATAGCACAGTAGAATAATAATCCTAATGTACTGTATATTTCAAAAAAATTAGAAAGGTATTGAATGTTTTCTGTACACACACATGAATGATGATAAGTATCTAAGAAGACAGATAAGCTTATCCTGACTTGAACCTTATATACTCTATACATGTATTGAAAATTCACATGACCCCATAAATATGTACAATTTTATGCATCAAAAAATGATGATGATGATGATGATGACAATGATGATAACAGTAAGTCCCTGAATATGAAATGCCCACAAGATCTTCCTGAATGCTCATGAACTAGCTATTATTATTGTGAGTTTCACTAAACAGGATTGGAAAGTAATACACTGATGTTGATAATTATGTCTCTCAAAATTATACCAAAAAGTACCCTTTACATCATGAAAACTACATTTGTATATAAGTTTCATAAACTCCCATTATTTCTGATCATTTAGACCCAAGTGTTATGTATATAGATACTAGAACAGAGTATTTCATTAGTAAAATTCCTATTTTTTCTCATTGGATTTATTTTATTTTATTTTTGCTAATTGATTTTAATTGACAAAAAATGTACATATTTATCATGTACATTATCATGTTTTGAAACATGTATAAAGAATGTCTAAATTGAGCTAAATTGTGCATTAACTCACATACTTACTTTTAGTGATGAGTACACTTTAGATCTGCTCTCTTAGTGATTTCTAATATATAACACATTGCTATTAACTATAGTCACCATGTTGTACAATCTTTCTCTTGAATTTATTCCTCCCACCTAACTGAAAATTTGTATCTATTGACAACATATTCCCATTCTTTGTTCCCCTCCTCCAAACCCCATTCTATTCTGTGTTTGACTTTTTCAGATTTCATATGTGAATGGGAATATGTGGCATTTGCCTTTCTTTGCCTGTTTTTTTTTTCACTTGGCATTAAATCCTTTGGATTTATCCATGTTATCACAATAATGACAGGATTTCCTTCTTTTTTAAATCTGAGTAGTATCACATTTTCTTTTTTCCATTCATTAAGTGATGGACACTTAGGTTGTTTCCACATCTTGGCTATTGTGAATGGTGCTGCAGGTGGATGCAGGTGTCTCTTCAACATATCGGTCTTTTTTTCCTTTGGATATATATGTAGTGGTAGGATTTCTGGGTTACGTAATTGTTCTTGTTTTTACTTTTTTTGAGGAAACTTCACATTGTTTTCCATAGTGGTATACTAATTTATATTCCCTCCATCAGAGTGTAAGGGCTCTCTTTTCTCCACATCCTCACCAACCATTATCTTTCTCCTTCTTGGTTATAGTCATTTTGAAAGGTTTGAAGTGATATTTCACTGTGGTTTTATGTTTCATTTCTCTGATGAGGGATAAAGTTGAACAGAAATTTTCTATTGTGTGTAAACATGAGGCTGGCTGTATCTATTTGATGATATTGTTAAGATTTTTGAAACTTTTCTCTTTTAATAATCTTAACCTTGAGGTTATTTTATTTCTTTTGTATGTAAAATTATCAAAGGGGTAAAATACTTGCTAAAGTCTCACAGCAAAAATGTTAATTCCAAGCAAGTGATTTGACACTTCTATGTTCAATAAAAGTTGAAAAAATACTTTCTTTTCATCAAGTTTCATAATGCAAAGTAATTCTTCTAGAAGAGGGCAAATTGATAACACACTGTTAAAGTTGAATTGTCTCTAAAAATAGGTGCATTTTGCTATTGTATATTGGTTTCCTTTTCAAATCAGCACATTTCCTAGCTCATGCTAGGTGTTAGCTGGTTTTGAACATGAATGTTTTTGCAAAAAGAGCATATTTGTGGATGTATGTAATTAGGTAATAGCTGTTATCAGTTTTCAGCTCATACCATACTTACTTGTTTCAAGTAAACCTATGCCTTCAAAGAACTATCATCTTATAGAAAATATATATGTTATGCATAATGAAAATTTCAAATACAAAGACTGATTGACATGTAGAAGAATGATAGTATGATAAATCAAATTAAGGATACCTTGGCCTTAATTAATAAGAAACTTCCAGTAAAGGTATGATACTCTTTAATGAATAATTAATACATTTTATTATTATAATTAACAAATTGGTTTTATTGATTATGTTAATGAATAAAGGGATGAGTCTTAGTTTTAATAATAGTTCTGACCTGCACCCTGATTTTAAAGATGTTGAACCAAAGCCTATGAGAAGTTAAATATCTTACCTAAGATCATATAGTTAACATAAGACCAGTGGGATTCTTTCAACATTAACAAACTAATTTTGTTACTACTTGAGCACATACAGCCCAGTTGTCATAAATGTACATATGGCTGCACCAATTTGCAGTCCCACCAGCAATGAACAAGTGTACCCTTTTCCCCACATCCTCGCCAGCACTTGTTGTTGTTTGACTTCATAATGGCTGCCAATCTTACTGGAGTGAGATGGTATCTTAGGGTGGTTTTGATTTGCATTTCTCTGACAGCTAGAGATGGTGAGCATTTTTTCATGTACTTGTTGATTGACTGTATGTCCTCCTCTGAGAAGTGTCTGTTCAGGTCCTTGGCCCATTTGTTGATTGGGTTGTTTGTTCTCTTATTGTCTAATTTTTTGAGTTCTTTGTATACTCTGGATATTAGGGCTCTATCTGAAGTGTGAGGAGTAAAGATTTGTTCCCAGGGTGTAGGCTCCCTATTTACCTCTCTTATTGTTTCTTTTGCTGAGAAAAAACTTTTTAGCTTGAGTAAGTCCCATTTGTTGATTCTAGTTATTAACTTTTGTGCTATGGGTGTCCTATTGAGGAATTTGGAGCCCGACCCCACCGACTGTAGATCGTAGCCAACTTTTTCTTCTATCAGACGGCGTGTCTCTGATTTGATATCAAGCTCCTTGATCCATTTTGAATTCACTTTTGTGCATGGCGAGAGAAAGGGATTCAGTTTCATTTTGTTGCATATGGATTTCCAGTTTTCCCAGCACCATTTGTTGAAGATGCTATCCTTCCTCCATTGCATGCTTTTAGCCCCTTTATCAAATATAAGATAGTTGTAGTTTTGTGGATTGGTTTCTGTGTCCTCTATTCTGTACCATTGGTCCACCCGCCTGTTTTGGTACCAGTACCATGCTGTTTTTGTTACTATTGCTCTGTAGTATAGTTTGAAGTCTGGTATCGCTATACCCGCCTGATTCACACTTCCTGCTTAGCATTGTTTTTGCTATTCTGGGTCTTTTATTTTTCCATATGAATTTCATGATTGCTTTCTCTATTTCTACAAGAAATGCCGTTGGGATTTTGATTGGCATTGCATTAAACCTATAGAGAACTTTTGGTAATATCGCCATTTTGATGATGTTAATTCTGCCTATCCATGAACAGGGTATATTTTTCCATCTTCTATTTGGAAAGCAGTATGGAGATTTCTTGGAAAGCTGGGAATGGAGCCACCATTTGACCCAGCTATTCCCCTTCTTGGTCTATTCCCTAAAGACCTAAAAAGAGCATGCTACAGGGACACTGCTACATCGATGTTCATAGCAGCACAGTTCACAATAGCAAGACTGTGGAACCAACCTAGATGCCCTTCAATAGACGAATGGATAAAAAAAATGTGGCATTTATACACAATGGAGTATTACTCTGCATTAAAAAATGACAAAATCATAGAATTTACAGGGAAATGGATGGCATTAGAGCAGATTATGCTAAGTGAAGCTAGCCAATCCCTAAAAAACAAATGCCAAATGTCTTCTTTGATATAAGGAGAGTAACTAAGATCAGAGTAGGGATGAAGAGCATGAGAAGAAGATTAACATTTAACAGGGATGAGAGGTGGCAGGGAAAGGGAGAGAGAAGGGAAATTGCATGGTAATGGAAGGAGACCCTCAGGGTTATACAGTGGAGGGGGTAGAGAGAGAGGAGGGGAGGGGAGGGGAGAGGTGGGGAGGGGGGAGGGTGGAGGATGGGAAAGGCAGCGGAGCACAACAGACACTAGTATGGCAATATGTAAATCAATGGATGTGTAACTGATGTGATTCTGCAATCTGTGTATGGGGTGAAGGTGGGAGTTCATAACCCACTTGAATCAAAGTGTGGAATATGATATGTCAAGAAATTTGTAATGTTTTGAACAACCCACAATAAAAAATTAAAAATAAAAAAAAATAAATGTACATATGTATCATATGCTGAGTCCACACACAATTAATCTGTAGCCATGCTAAGTTATTTATTTTATATTTACAATCTGCTGACTATACGAGTTAATATATACTGTATTGAAAAAAACGCTAAGCACTGAAATTCCTGGGTGCTGTTTTTCTGCATTAACTATGTACTTCTTATGCACTGTAAAACTATTTTAAATAGGTGAAGAATCCACTCTGACCTTTCAACATATTAATTCTTTGAAGAGAAATGGAAAGTACAAAGCAGGTATAAACAAAGGGGACTAGTTAGTGCTGACCTTGTGGCAATGTCTGTATGTATATGCATGAATAAAAGTTGCTTAAAAATGGCATAAAATGCTTATTTATATTAATTGATAATTAAAGAAGTTTCAGGAATACTGTAAGACAAACCACACCTCAGACCTTTGCCATGACATATGCTCTTATCTTATAGATTTTTAGAAGTAGCAATCTTCATCTGAAAAATTTCCAAGTTTATTCATGCAGAGACTTTGGAATTGACATCTTGGAAAGTGATGCAAATACTTCGGTTACTGACAGTTTATTACTTGGTCATTTTAACCAAAAGGTAAGTCCTTAGTGTGATTGTTTATAGGTTGTCCATAAAAACAGAATCATATGTGCAGGGATTCCTGATGATCCACGATGTGTAATTTTAATACTATTCTTTAGTGGATCTTATATTTAACTGGTAAAAACTAGAAGAGCTTTTTATTTGTAACAGTGATGGTATTAAAAATAAGATTCAAATATACACTGAAACTCAGTGTTTCAGTGTTGGGTCCTTATAAATAGTAATATAGTAATAGTTAGAAGAATTCTTATTTGATTATAATTCAGGCTTACTACTAATTTCTATATTGAACCTAATAATTTAAATTTGTCTAACCTTACAAGGATTATAATATAGTATAGTTTCATATTGTCTCTCTGCTCCATGTTTTACCATTTTATTAATAAGACCCTTACTCCATTTAAGGTGCCCAGAGACTGAATCAGATAATATAAATTTACACAGTTTGTTACAGTACAATAAGATTCTGTATGTATTCCCTAGCTCTTGTTTAAGTATGGGTTCTACATAAAAATTAGACTGTAGAAGATGTCTCCTCCACTGAATGGTCAGAGTAACAGAATACAGATGAGACAAAGTATACTTCCCAAGGGAGCAGTCCTAGTTCTCCTTAAAAGAATTCAGACTATAGTAATCTCTTAGGCTTTAGTCCTTTATGGAACTCCTATATTTTTGCTTCAGAAAGAGCCATCTGCATACTAGCAATCATATTGTCCGAAAAATCATAGACAGAAGAGGCCTCCAACATTCCTGGGAACCATGGGAAAAACTTTCTCTTCAGTTTGTTGCTGAATATGTTGTCCATTTGAAATTTAAATGATAATTATTGACTTATGCTTCCACTGGAGATTATTACATAGCTCTAGATAGAAACACTATGATTTACAACACCATTTTCTTACTGAGATACATTTTTCTTTTTTTGATTTTAAATTTTCCTTAGTTCAATTTATTTTAAACCATCCTTTCTGAAAGCAGGAACCTGGCATTTCTTCCTTTTCTACTATAGGGTCACCAACACAAGGGATGAGTCTTTTCAGACTATAGTTTCCAAGAAAGGATGGCACTCAGATTTACATTTTGTGATACTGGTAGATCAAAGGCCCTTGAACTTTCCAGAATAACTTTAGAATAGATTCTAGAAACAAAACACCCATCAAATTGGATAACTGTCCTGGTAAATTAATGCTGAATATCTTAATTGATGTTAAATAGACATCATAATTAAAGGGAGAGTGACATAAATTAAGATATAAATTATGATAAAAGGGTGCTTATCATGAGATAATGACAAATAATCACATGCCTGGGGTATAACTCACTAGGAAAGCAGTGCAGCTGAGGGTTTAAAAAAAAAAACTCTTTTAATAAGTACAGGACAAGAGTCTTCTGATACAAAATGTTAAACTCTTTTGTTCTAGAGAAATCTAGATACTGGTTAGTCATCCAAATCTTAAAGCCATGTGATTTCATTGTTCATTGTTACCTAAAAGATTATCTGAGTAGAATTTCTCAATTTGCAGTAAAGAAATGGAAACTTTGGGGAATCGAAATACAGCTCAAGGTCTATGCCTAGTATTTCAGATCCAGGGATACTTTGATATCTTCCCAACTTCTGATCCAATAATCTTAATTATATATGGTAAATGGCTTTGCCATGAACATGCATTGGTGCCTACACCAATATTCTCTGAAGCATTCTCTAGGAGTGCCTAGCCCCAAGAATATGTCTGGGAAAGAAGATTAATTATGTCTACACTATGCTACTTTCCATATTGTCTGTTTTCCAAAACCTTAAATAAAACCTAATGTACAATATGAGGACTCTAGTTAATAAAATTGCGTTGGCAATTTTTAAAAAATAAATCAATGTTAGTTGATCTTGTAAAAAATAGTAAATATATGAGATAACATGGTATTTGCTTCACTATAATAAACATTTTACAATCTGTATATATCCCATAACATCATATTATAAACCTTAAAGACACACAGTAAAATTCATTTAAAAAAAAAGAAAGAAAAAAATTACAGGTTCTGAGAAATTCTAGGATTAAAACAAATAAGAAAAATATCCATTAATCATTAATTAACACATTTCTGAAATTTATTTTGCTAATCTCTTTATCACTTCAGTTGTTTGAAGTGGGTGGAGCAGGCAGAAGTACCTGACCTGAGGTTGTAGAACTATGACTTCAGCCTCTATCTCTCATTCCTGAGATTTCTCTCATGCCCAACATTCCTTTAGGAATTAAGATTTTCAGTGGATTTGACCCCTTCCATGTGTAGGTCTCTCATCCACATTTAATTTATAGCATTCTATTATCAGGGATTCATGTCCTCAAATAGATATCAATTTCTAGAAGAACTTTTTTTTTTATCATTAGAAAGGGTTTATTTGGTACTCTCACACCCAATCTATAGTAGATAGAATATTTTAATTGACATGAAAAGATGCGCTATGGCATTGCTACACATCTCAGTCTGGTTGAGCAGTGTGTTGATACCCTCTCTCCTGACATTCAATCTAATTAGCATTCCCTTTCAGACTCAGAAATACCCTGATTTGGATTTAATCTATGGTCACCCACCTTTTGAACTATCTTTGGGGTGATTGTCTTTCTGTTGCTATTATAATTAATCTGAGCAGAAGATGGTACTTTTAAAAATATCTTATCAGGCATCAGGCAGGGGCTGATGGGGATGCTTTATTCTTTCTCCTTCTTCCCTGGCATTTAGTTTCCATTTTCACTTGTGGATCTGTCTTCCTCAATTTAGACCTTTCATCTTGTTCTTTCCCTAAAGTCTGGTGTAGGGCCCCCTCTCTTCTCATCATACTTGCTCTCCCTGGGAGAAATCTCATTTTCTCTTGTGGTTTCAATTACCATCTTCATGCTGATGTCTCTCATATATTTGCATTTTTTTTCCTACTATCTTATTCTGTGCTTCCAGTTTTGCAATCCGTTTTCTTTCTCTTTCCAACTTTTCTAACTTGATTTGTCTTGCATTGTATCTCTTTAATAGTTTCTCATTTGAAAATTATTTGTTCTGTTTTGATTGTCTTTGCTCTTGGCCTTAAATTTTTAACATGCTTGCTTGTCTTAATGAAGTCTAAATTACATTAGCACGCATGAACGTTACCTGTGCATTTCAAGGACCTTCAACTGCTCAGCTTCTTTCTTTAGCCTTTCATGCTCTGTGTTACTTTCCCTTAGTATTTGTCCTACTTTTTAAAATAAATGTTTTGTGAAAATATAATATTTATGAAGAAAAGTGCATAAACCACAAGGGGAAAAAAATCAGTGGAGTTTTGTAAAGCAAACCAACCATGTAAATATCACCCAGATGAAGAAATAGCACATTATGGGTTCCTCTGAAGCCCTCCTGTCCCCCTATTCCAAATCCTACCCATAACTCTACAGTCAGAGGGGAAGTGTTATACAGACTCACATTGATACAGATTAACTTTTCTTTCTTTTAAATTTTATATCAAAGGAATCATAGAACATGTAACTCTACTTTACCTGGCTTCTTTGGCACAATACTATGTCTGTGAGATTCAACTATGTCTTTATTGTTTTTTAATAATTTATTATTCCAACCATTACATACTATTCTTTTTTATGACTATTCCAATCATTACATATCTTTCTGTTTTTAAAGGTATGTTACTATTGATGACTATTAGATTTTTTTTTTAATTTTTGCTATCTTCTATCAATATCCTTCTACATGTCTTTTGATGTTCATATTCATACATTTCTGTGGAAAATAAGTGAAGTTGTAAAATTGTTGATTGTAGAGTACCCCTTCATCTTTAGTGGATGGTGCCAGGCAGCCATGCAGATGGTTAGTGCTCACACCAGCAGAACCTGAGAAGGGTCTCCTCGTGTACCTTGGAATCTCTCCTTTCCATGCCTTGGAGATTTCCTTCATGTTTCTATAGTGTTGGAATTCTTGGTCCTCATTCCCACCTCTTCCCTCCTTCTTTCTAGTTTATTTCCTCATTTTGTTAGAGCATAGCCTGTAGTAACTTTCCAGAGGAAAGGGAAGTTTAAAAGGTGAAAATTTTGAGCTACTTATAAAAAACCCCTTATAGGTACTTTGTTGGCTATAAAATTCCAGATAAGAGTTAACTTTGTCCTAAATTTTTGAGGGTAAGCACTATTAATTCCAGCTTCTAGTCTCGAGGATGATGGTTTAAGATACTCAGATTCTGGATATTTTATATGTAATTACTTATGTTTTTTCTTCTTGGTAGCTTTTGGAGCTTTATCCTTGTCCCAGTGTTTTACGTCAATACCATGTTTTTGGTGTGGCTCTTTGTTCTAGCTACTGTGTTAGGTATTGTGTGGGCCTTTAAGGACTGGAAAATTTTACCCTCCCTTTTTAGGAAGTTCTATTCAATTATTTCTTTGATAGTTGTCTCCCTTATATTTTCTTCTTTTTTACTTAAAATATTATTATTTGGATACTTGACTATATAGATTGCTTTCCTAATATTTTTCTTATTTTTCATCTCTTTGTCTCTTTGTCTTGCTTTTTAAGATATTGCCTTAATTTTTCTATTCAGTTTTTTATTTCTGCTCTCCTATTTTTATTTTTTTAAAAGAATTCTCTTAAGGGTTCTTTTGTTTGTTTCATGGCTATACTTATTTCTCAAGTTATTAATGATGCTGTTTAAATTTTCCTCTGATCTCTACAGTGTATTTGTCTCCATTTGGTGTTTTTTCTTTCTTTTTTTGTCCCACTGATGTTTATTTTTGTCACTGTTTTTCATGTTGAAAGCTTTTATAAAAATTCTACTGATTCTCAAAATGTAACTATTTTTAACAATGGAACAGTGAGCAAGTCCCTAAGAAATTGACTGAATGGGGTTTGTTGAAGTGCTTTTATGGGAAAGCTTAGAAGCAGCTTTTCTTTCACTTCAAACATAAACATTATTTTTTTTTTTCATTTTAAGTTTTTTATTTAAACAATGATAGACCTGCAAAACAAATCTAGAATTTGTATTTGAAATTCATGCCTTTTCTTTAAGGGTACTTGAGCATATACTGAATCCAACATTTTGTGATAGTTTGTTTTTCTATATTGACTATGACAAACCTGACATTTTTGATGAATAATTCTCAGAATTTTAAACACATACAAATATATGTAACCATGACCACCACAGTCAAGATGCAGCAAGTCAGTTACATCAATCTGAACTCTGTGGAGCACCATCTTTGGAGCCACATCCTCTTCTCACTTCTGACTCCTGGCAATTACTAATCTACTTCCTGTGAACAACTGCCTTTTCAAAAACTATATAAGTGGAATTGACATGGCTCTCCAGCTGTCAAACCTCTGGTCCCTGTCCAGAAGCAGCAGAAGAAGGGAGGAGCACTGGAATAAGCAGCTCATGTAGGTTGGAGCGCAGGTGCAACCATGACCTGAGGTGATCCTGAAATGCTGGGAGCCAAAGCTCAATGATGGTCACCCTTCAGCGATCAAGCCTGGGCACTGTATGGACACCTGCTACAGAAACCTGCTCCATGCAGCGATGTAACCCAAAACCTGCAAGCACAGACCATCTCACGACCTCAATTTCCTACTCCCTGGAGAAAATGGAAGTAGGCAGACCTGAAAGGAAGTCTGGTTTGGACAGTTGACCAATAGCGGTGGTTGGGTTCCAAACCGTAATTTGAATACAGTTGGACCAATAGCATTTTACTTCTGTCAAACCCTAATTAGCTTAAGTTTGAATCTATAGCAGTGATCCAAGTACTATATAAACCCCTAGACTTGCACTCTCAGAGAGGAAAAAACTTGATAACAGGTCTTTTATTGCAATGCACTAGTTGTGTTCCTCTTCTGCTCATAAATAAATCGTGCTATTACACTCAGTCATCCTTGTCTGTATACTTGAATTTTTGAATTCACAAGACAAGGACCCTGAAAGAAGAAAAATTGACAGTGAGCTGCAGGGGTCAGCTTCCACACTGGATGGTATGGCCTGCTATTAAGAGTTGCCTCTTTTCAGCTGCAGCTGCACTGCCGGCAGAAGCAGTGAATTGAGTTTCATCTCAAAACTTTGTTTTCAGAATCATAAGGCACCTAACTTTTGGGAACTGACTTTTTTTCATACCCAAATGTGTTTGGGAAATCATGCGATTTGTTTCAAGTATTTTTTTTTAAAAATTCTTTATTGTTACTGGGCAGTGATAGATGTAATATGGTTTGTTTATCCCTCCATGTCTAAAAAAGCATTTGAGTTATTCTTCAGATTTGGTGGTTACAAGTGGAATCATAACCATTTATGTCAGGGTTTTGTGTGAATGCAAGTTTTCATTTCTCTAAGGTAAACACCTTGGGGTTAAATTGTTACATCTTATGTGAAGAGTGTATTTAACTTTATAAGGAACTGCCAAACTGTTTTCCACAGTGGCTATCCCATTTTGCATTCCACCAGCAATGTATGCATTTTAGTTGTTCCTCATCATCAGCACTCTTTTTTATTTACTCAATCTAATAAGTATATAGTGAGTGTATCTTATTTTGATCTTAATTTGCATTTTCCTAATGAATATTATGTTAAACATTGTTTTCATGTGCTGATATTTCCACTTTATTTAGGGAAATGTCTTTTATTTATTTTTTTATTTTTAAGATAAATTTTCTGTTTTATTGCTATTGAGTTATGCAGATTCTTTTTATATTCTGGATCTAAGATCTTTGTCTTATATGTGATCAACAAGTATTTTCTCTAAGTCTGTAGTTTGTTTTTTATTCTTTTTTAATGTTTATTTATTTATTTTACTAATTATTACTATAATTCATAATTTGTATTACTTTCTTTGCTTTTTCTTTCTTTTCTTAAAAAAAAAATCACAGGAAAGTCTTTGTATGTCAGCTGGGATTAAAACTCCCAAAAGATGGGAACTGCTGGTTTCTAACACAACCTTTGTTAATTTTGATCTCATCAACTGTGTGGCCATAAGAACCTGTTCAGGCTGTTCCCAAGGACAGGGTAAGTTTGAATAGACAGGGGAAATGGTAAACATGGCCAATGTTCAAGTGAACATGATAAATAGTGGCAAATCCTTTGTGGGTCAATATTTCTTTCAGATCCAAGATTGCATCACTAGAAACTGTTACTCTGGCTTCTTAAAAGAACTCCTAAAGGAGGCCCAGTATTCCTGTGTCATTTCTGTAGTTCCCTATCTTCTGCTTGTCATGATGCCCATCAGATTCTATTAGTATGTTGCTGTGTCTCAGTTGAATGCTGAGCTTCATAAAGGCTCTCTTGCTCAATGTTTTATTACTAGTACATACTGGAGAGCCTGGTACCTAGAGAACAGTTAATTTATAACATGAATAAATGGACACATGGGCATAAACTCGCTTGCATACAACCCCTTCTGAAGGAGCCAGTTCAAGTGCTTGATGTTTTCAGCAGCTTAATGCTTGATATATGCACAAATAGAGCCATAGCATTCTTGCTTACTTGCTATCCACATCTCAGAGGTGGTAAGAAATACCTTGGAGGACTCATGAGTGGAAGGAGGTAGAGAGCAATCTAGTTTATCTGATCATTGTAAACAGCCAAGCAAAGTAATTCAAGTAAATATGCTCTTGTGGTTTAAATCACCAATTTAGATAATTGTTTGTTTTTTTTTAATTAAATGAATAATCAGCAAGTCTTCACTTGACTTTTTTCCCCCTACATAGGCAGAATCAAAGATTGTTCTTATTTGAGAGGTATCTAGGTTTAAAATTTTAAAAATAAATTGTATAAATTAAAACATGCCTTATGGCAAATACTTCAAATCACAATTCTACAGTTCTTTAATAGCTTTACTGTTTCATATCATTCATAAGTCACTGAAACAAATACCATTTTTCCATCATTGTATAGAGAGTGATGAGTACAATATCAGCGAACCAACACAGTCAGCAAAGGGGTCCAGGGAGAGGGAATGTAAGACTTCATGGGAGTGACTTTTGAGTAAGGTTTTGAAAGGTAAATAGATGTTTGCAAGGGAAAGTAGGCAGAGGGAAATGCCTAGGTTATTTGCATATTAGCATATGCAAAAAAATAGAGATTCTAAAGATAAGTCTGTTTGGGGAATCACTAAAATCCTCCAATATGTCTGAATTGTAGAGCTATGGGTGGTTGTGTTATTAGGTGAACTACACAGATTTCAAGAGGTAGAATTGTGGAGTCTTTCCTACATAGCTGTATTTACTGCATGTATTCTATTGCTAATGCAGAATGGAAATATTAGTCTCAGTTTATGTCTTATTCTTTTTTATTTCCTTTTTTCAATATTTTCTAATGTATATAATAATACAGCACCATATGTACTATAAAGTATATACTCAGTTTTTCTTTTTTAGTGACAGGTATGTGTGTTTGAAACAATCACTGCTTCTTCCAGGGCAACTGGGCTGGCAGTACCAAAGAATCACCTGGTGATGATGTTAGGGAAAGCACTGAAAAGTATAGCCCTAGAGCTAATACATTGAAAGTATGTTACTATTTATACAAATGACTAATAAAATCTTGCTTTTGAAGGTGAATGTTTAAAGTATATACCTCACAGTTAAAAGTTTTGCTGATAGGGTTAGAGTCACCAGAGAGGAACAGAAGCTGAAAGATTGGAAGACTGGAGTATAGCACCTTTAGTATTTAGTATTTGATAAATTAGTGTTCTCTGTCTCTATTTCCCACAATACCAGTGTTTTTTACCCTTGGTACTATTGGTATTTAGGGCCAGATAGTTTTTTGTCATGTGGACAGTCTTATACATTGTCGAAAGTTTTGCAGCATTCCTGGGCTCTACCTACTAATTGCTAGCAGCACTGTCAATCCTCCCTCCAGTTGTAATGGCCAAAACCAATTCCAAATGATGCCAAATGTGCTCTGGGGAGCAAAACCTCCCCTGGTAGTGAACCACTACCATAGAGCACAGGGTGTTTGACAGCTGGGCCAATGCTGCTCTTTGGTCCCTCAGTATCTCAAGCACACATAACCTGTCATAAATACTTGTGGTGTTTTTTTCTTGAATGAATAAGGGAGTGAATTATAAAAGTGTATAAATATGCAGCTTAAAAGTATTAAGATGAGCCTGGTGAATTGAGTTGTCATTTGTGATAATTGTCTCATGCTGTTGATTTGTAGGTGGATTTACTGTGAAGACCAACCAGTTGAAGTTTACAGACTCTTCAAATTTAGTAGCATTTCCATTTCCTCATGCAGCAATTTTGGAAGACTTGGATGGTTCTCTCTCTGGGAAAAATAGAAGTCACATTCTGGCCTCTATGGAAACCCTTTCCGCTTCTTGTTTGGTCAGTGCAAGCTTCAGTCAGATTGTCCGGGGCAGTGTCTGTGGGGAAGATGTTCTCTTTCATCGTATGTCCATTGGTTTGTAAGTAGAATTAATTATACATTTTAGCTTTCCAGTGAACATGTGTGGGTCATTTGGGTTATTGAGGCTTGTATAAAGAAATTGTTTTCTGACTATTTAAAGAATTTAGTTCAATAAAAGTGAAGTGTGAATAATTTTGATATTTTCATTCACATATTTCTGATAGTTTCAGCCTGATTCAAATAGCAGTTGTCAATATCTTTGGGCCAGATCCCATACCCATAACCTCTTATGAACATTTTAAGATAACAGCTTCTTCTTTAAAAGATTTGCAACCAACAGAGAATTTGAAATATATTCAAATTAAAAATATTATTGAGAAAATTCCAATAATGTCCATTCTCATTTATATACATGTACTTTCTCCGAGCTCTCTTTACGTGCTCACTGTGCTCCAGGGAAGCAATGGCTGATGCCTCCTATTACTTGCAAAGTTGCTCCCAGTTCATTTTCCTTGTTAATTTCATGAACTATTGGATTCGTACAATACCTTTCCTATTAATATTGAAGCAAGGACTCCTTGGTTATACTACTCAAAGTACCATTAAGTCAGCAGCTGGGCTGTTTATAATGCATAATAGGATTGCTTCTGCCCTCTTTAATTTCCAGGTAATGATTGCTGAGTGTCTAGGGTTCTCTCTTTTACCTATTTCAAATGCATTGTATATATTTAGCCACACTTATTTCCTTCCTTTATTTTAAGTGTCCTAACTCCATGAATATTAAGTCACGTAATTCAGTCAGACCACGTTGGCATCTTATTTGAATAGGTAAACTCCAGAGAGCGAGAATAATTGTCGTCAGGATTGCACTAACTCTGCATTTTGAATGCATATGGAATCAGTATCTTGTCGTTCTGTTTTGGAAGTCTCGATAATACACTGAAAGCATCAGAAAGTCACTTTTACTTTCCATATTCATTATTCTAACATTAATAGGCTCATTTCCAGTGAGTTAAATAACAATAATAGGGGGATATTACTTTTATATATATTATTTATTACATATTATTATATATATTTTTTCTTTTTTAAAATTTTATTTTTTGGTGCATATTAATTATACAGAATGGTGGGTTTTGTTGTTGTATATTTATACATGCATATAACATAATCTGATCAATATTACTTCCTAATACCTCCCCCACTTTCTAACCTTCTCTCCTCCTACTTCCCTTCCTCTCATCCGATGATTTCCTCTCTACTTTCATGAGAACTCTTTCTCTCTTTTTGTTCTTTGAAGGGATATTTTTTTATTCATACTCATGATTGGGTACAGTGTGACTTACTTTTTCTTATTATTCTTAGAAATAGGCTAATTTGAACTGTTCATTAGAGTTTTTTTTTTTTTTTTTTTTTTTTTTTTTTTTTTTTTTTTTAGTGCTGGGGATTGATCCCAGGTCCTTATGAATCTGAGGCAAACACTCTACTAAGGGAGCTATATCGCAAGTGTCATTTAGAGCTCTTACCAAAGATGACTTTAATGTATGTTTGAGATTTATGAACATTAGTGATTAATTTCCTGAATATACTTTTTTAATGAGGAAAATAAAATAGATTTTGTAGTTAAGAGGAATATTTTATGCTTGTATGATATTTATTTCTATGTATTCATGACAATCTCTTTTGTAATTGCTTTGGGACATTCTTAGGTTGTCTCTTGAAGCAGCCCTTGTCAACATGCTGATAGAATGTTCTGCAGAGCCTCAGCCTTGTCTGAGAATCTGCTTTTTGAGATCTTCATGGTAGGAGACTTAGGTCCTTGCCTTGGCGACAGATCATGCTGTCACCACTCAAAGACAGACGAAGTTGAGAAGATGATAATCCTGATGCTATGATCTAAGTTGATTCAAAAGACTCCACATGGAGTGAAAAATTCATCCTGATTTTCTTGGAATTTCCTGTTTTAACATAGAAAAATTCCAAGTCCTGGAAGACTCTTTAGGACCACAAAAACCAGGATGACTGATCACCCTTTACTCACTATGCTTCTATTTAAAAACTTCAGACTGACCCACAGGTTTATGGACAACAATCTGAATTTAATCATAGGGAAGTCTCAGCATACCTCCAGTTGTCAGTCTCTTGGCCCTTGTGTCCTGACCTCTAGGAAAAGGCAGCTGGATTAGGTGAACTCACAGGCCTTGCTCAAAGTATACTCCAAAGGCTCACCGACATCACCACTACCAGGGCGCCCCTCAGAAATTCTGAAACTCAGACTGGACTTTGGACATCCTGAATCAGAGTGCCCAGGTGATTGGTATGACAAGTTTGGGCAGCACGCATGGCTCTAAGGTCCTTCTAATTTTATCCTTCTATGATTCTAGCCTTAGCTATTTGTGCTCCGGGGCTTGATCTTTGTCCCAGAGCATTATAACCTCATTAGGAACATGTCAGAGCTAATGAGCAATTTGGATTCAGTGTAGATACAAACTTTGCTGCATTTCATGGAGAAAGGATTAATTTGTTGTGCTATTTGCCTTGGGGCAAGCACCCTAAGAGTTGATTTACAAAGCTCTCACAGTCATGATCTTTTGGGGTTGCATGTTGATGGAGATCTGATATGGCACAAGCGCCCTGCTGTCTTCACTTTTAACTGTTCACCCCCTCCCTCAGCAAGAGGTCCCCAGAGGGCAAGAGTGAGGCTTTATATAGCGGCATCAACAAGGTGCTCCTTCCCCCAAGTGCTTGGAGTGTGATTTCTTCCGTCCCCTCTCTGATCTGTTTTTACTATAACTGTAACTTCTTTGTTTGACTTCAGTGACCTTCTGTTCCTGTCCCTCACTGCCTCATTTTAATCTGATGAGTGCCCACCATTGTGATACTTTCCATTTTATAGGTTCAATGCTAGCAGCTGGTTGCATATAAATATTTGAAGTCGGTCATAATATATTTAATGTTTGGGTGAAGAATAAACTGCTCCCCTGTACAAGGCGGAAATCAAGTTTATGTCTTGTTAAAATGACAACATGCTTGATCTGCATGGTTGCTGCGTATGTTGGTCTCTCTTGTACCTGTTCTAAGAACATGCTTTCTGTTTTCAATATTCTGAGTCATGTTCCTTCTCTAGCTTCTGTTCCTAACAACCTCCCTCTGTGAACTTCATTCTTCCTAAAGAGGCAAGGGTTGGGGTCTTATTTCACAAAAGGATGTCATTGAACATTTTTTTCCAGAGCCCCCAGGATGACATGCTTTACATAGTTCTTGAATTAATCTGTCCAAAAATTTAGATAAATGATTTGCTCTGCATAGAAATAATTTTGCACAGAATGAGGATAACATTCTTGATAGATTTTTATGTGCTATTTCTAAATGTCTTTTGTAAATTCCAGTCTCTGTTCTTTAAGTGCTGGTTTACTTTAGGGTTCTGTGAACTTTCATTTTCTCTCAGCCATGTACCCATCCCAGGCAGTCTTGGTTACTTTCACGTCAGTTAAGATTCACTGATGATTACCAATTGTTTCCTCCAGTCCAATGAGTGTACACTCTGGAGCCATTTTTCTGCTGCCTTGAGATTCTGCACCGTCTAGTATTATAGCCACTAGAAACGTATGACTGCTGAGCACTTGACATGTGACTAGTCTGAACTGATGTGTGCCATAAGGGGAAATTAAACACAAATTCTTGAGGCTTAGTATGAAACAAAAACAATATAAAATAGTTTAACAATTTGCTCATGTTGGTTACACTGATGATATTTTGGATATATTAAGTTAATATGTTACTAAAAGTAATTTATCTGCTTCTTTTTACTTTCTTATTTTTTTCCTTCTTTTTACTTTCAGAGTGTGGTTACTACCTCTGACTTGTTCATTATTGCTTTTGTGGGTTTCTTGAATTTCCACTGAACAGCAATACCTTGAGTATTTCCACTAGTAGACTTAATAGTCATTTCAAACTCATCTTGCCAACAGAGAATTTATGATCTTAGCCTTAGACCTGTCATCCCTCCTTGGGTGTTTAGAATCCCGCTGAGGCAAATGTTTATCTAAACCAGAAACATGGAGTCACCCAAAACCAACTCACCTTCTTACCTAACTCATTACATTAATCATCTAATAGGTCCATTTTATTTTCAAAAAAGAAAAAAAAAAACCACAAATCAAACAAAACAAAAGAAAAACATCCTTCCTGAGTATTTCTGCTTCTCTCCTTTACAACTTGGCCCACTAGTCCAGGCTTCTAACCTGTATAACCATGATAGCTTCTGAGCATACCACTTTGCTGTGTTCCAATGCTTGAACTTTGAAAATAAAGGTCTGGTCTTGCTTGAAACTCCAGTACCTCCAGAGGAAGGTCCACCATTTTCAATGTCTCCTGGGCTTTTCATTACCTGCTCCCTGCTATGGTTCCAGCATCATCTCTCAAGACTGTCTACCTTCCCTTCAATCTGTCCTCCAGCTGCTTTCAACTTCTTTGCCCCTTTCAGTTCATGAGGTTCAGCCTCTGTGAACTCAGCATGGAGCTTGTTTCCTCTGGTAAGCTTCCCTGAGCATCCTGGGTAGATTTTGGTCTCCAGGCTGTATGTCAGCTCTTGAGGTTTGCTCTGATCAATACTTTTAGTCCCTACGTAGATCAGCAAATTGTATGTTTTTTCTTGTGCATGGGAAGGAGTGTTTATTTGTTTGTCTTAGGGTGCCAATACCATGTTGAACAAACAGTGGTTTGAAATTAGTTTTGTATAAATTAATATTGATAAAAATATTGGAGACTCCTCAGAGGCTTCCTTTGGTGTCATTATTGCTCATTTCTCTCTTAGGGGCATATTCATGAGGTGTCCCTGGCATTGACCTTTGCTTCCAAAGACAAACACATAGAAAGAAATGGAGCTGTGATTTGTACATGCATATCATTTTAAATTACATCTCTATTCTCTAGTTTTGAAAAATAATTTCAAATAAACGTATATGTCCTGACCATGTTTATTGTACAGCCTACAAAAACTCAAAAGGGTTGGTTGGACAACTTAAAACATTTTGCAAACATCTAATTTCCATCACA